GTTGAAATAACATTAAAATCCCATTGCATATATACGATCAAGGAAGATAAGCATTGTGCGGAAGGAGTAGCTAACTAGCCTACACAGAAAAAAGCCAAGGAAACTCACATTTTGCCAGTTTTTCTTCAACAACGAAACAAGGAAATTGACGCTCATTTGCACATTTTGGAAGATTTGCTTCTCCTCCATAGCTACATTCCCAACCGCAACACCCATGCAAAGCACCTTCTTTAGCTGGAACTTAACCATTGCCTTGGTCTCATTCACTTTGGACTCGAGTAATTCCTGGTGGGTAACAAGGGTCGGGAATTTTCCTGCACTTGTCACCAAAATCAGCAATGTAAGATCACATTTCAGAAACCACAATTGAAAAAATGCAGAATCTAATCAATTGCCTAAGGGAGTGCAACTAAAAAGATTGTTGATAACAGGTGCAACAAGTGATTGTAAAGAATACTGGCCTGCTTTGTTGAGACCAGGACCCAAGAGACGAGGGATCTGCTTGATGACAGATTCAGAAGCCAAAAAGGCATGATACTTCTTGGCAAGTTTCTTCACCAGCTTCTTGTTCTTGTTAAGCTTCTTAAGTGCTTCCACATCCATATAATCCAAACCTATCTTTTCTGCCTGCAGTACAATAAACCATTTAAACAACAATTCTCACAGCATAGATCAGCAATCAAATATTAGAGGTATAAGCTTCACATAACTCCTATACCCGAATCTAAAAACAACATGCCCTTCCAAGAAAGGAAAGCAAGCAGATGAAAATTTACCTCTTCAACATGTTGAGCATCACCAAGCATGCAGATCTTCATCTTAGGGCGAGGAATGTGGGGCAGCTTCACGGAACCACTGAAACGCTTATCTTTTTGGGGATCATAGTTTTTCAACCCAATCTGGAGCTCAATGGTCTCCGTAAACTTACGTTGCTTCTCGTTGGACTGAGCTACTACGGTTGAAATAGCCTCTCTAAGGGCATCACTCTGAAGCTTACTGTAAATGAGAAACCAAAAATCCCTAAGGAAATAAAACCCTAAACTAGTATATATAAGAACCAACTACATGTTTCACAAATTAGCGTGGTGAAGGATTAATAATCCAAGGCAACAAATAAAGAGCTCATAATCATACGATGAACAACAAAAAATCATGCATATCTCATATTTCATAGATGGAAGTACCGAACAGATCATTCCATAAAACACATTCCATTCAAAGGATCCTAATTCTTCTAATTCAAGTCCAGCAACTCAAAAACAATATTAAAATCCTAAGAAACAAATCAATATAAATAACAGATATCAGGAAAACATATATACATATGAGCAATCTAAATTCAGCATTGTTCAGAAGAAAATAAATCAAGCCGATGAGATGAACACAAAAAAACAGAATTAAAATCACCTCATCTCTGAATATCTGTTCTTTCCACGTACAACACTATAAAATTACCTGCGAAGCAAAGTTATCAAGTCACGTAAAAATCGAAAAGATGACTCATCAAGATTAGATCTGAGAATAAATGAGAGTTGTTTTGAGAATAAATGAGAGTTTTTTTTTAGAATAAATGAGAGTTTGAATACACAGCATTTACCAGAGGAGAGAAAACCCTAGCCGCGAATTGAGTTTTGTGGCTGAAGATAAAATATATAGGGGTGTCAATGACAAACCCTAGCAATTGTAATAAACTGAAACTGGGCCAACTGCATGTCTAGACCGAATTCATTTGGGCTCAGAGTTGGTTTGATTTGGCATGTCTATTGTAATGTTAGCCGACTCAACAACAATGGGTCTTACGTGAATTTTATTGTGACATAACAATTAGGGTCGCTCGCATGAACTAAATTGCTTCAGTATTTAAAGGAATTGTTGTTGATCCTAGAGGTCACGGGTTCGAGCACCAGCAGCTGTAGCAGGATGATTGAGTGTTCATTGTCAAATGATTGAAAGTGTTTAAAATAGATACTATTTTGTAATCACTTTAGTTTAATCAAACGTTGTGTGAAGGACACTTAGTGTCATTTATGTGTTTTAACCGATATTATACATAACCTATGGAGTGTGTTAAATAGAGTATTATCTTTTCTAAAGATTTTGACTTCTAACAATTGCATTTGTTGGGTGTGTACACATCGTTAAAAACTAAGATTTTGAATAAAAATTAACTTGAAACCATCTCAGACTAATGAAAAACGTAAAAGTAAATAAAAAGAAATTACACAAGACATTTTTTAATATTCTATGATGATTATAAAAATATATGTTCATAATATTTATAAGAAAATCACATAAAAGTTGTTCTCTCATTTTATAATAAAAAAATAAAAAGGAGCACGAATCAAACAACCTATGTGGCTAAAGATATAGTTGTTATCTCTAAAAGCTCTGGTTTCGAACACCAACGACAGCAGTGTATTTGAGCTTTCATTGTCAAATGATTAAGTCTTTAAAACAAATATTATCACTTGTAATCACCTTAGATTACACAAAAAAAAAAAAGACAAAATGATAATTATACTATTAAAATAATACGAAGATTATATTTAAACACTTAAGTACGTCAATACTCAAATAAAATGGGATTTCTCAATTTGCATTACCAATGTTCCTTCACTAATGTAAGTAGTAGAGTTTTTGCGAACATAAGAAAAATTAAAGTTGAGTGAAAATAAAAAAAAATAACGACAATAAGATTAGCTGTTAAAATATGAGTATCTTACAAATTTAAACCGATATATAGTAAAATAAGTAATTATTCTCTTTAATAAATGAATAAATCTTGAACTTATTCTGATAGGAGTTAACTCATGACACACGATCAATTTCAAATTCAATTGAATTTCACCTTGAGTTGTTACTAAATGTTCCACAAAAAAGTTCTGATATCTTTTATAAAAGATGATTAGTCATTTATATTTATATAGATAATTTTATCAACTATATATTAATATAGGTAAACCGAATCAAAATTATGAAATCACTCAAAACTTTTTAGAGTGAATTATATATTTAGTACATAAACTACCAGTTTTGATATATTTTAGTATTTACAATTTTATTATTTTTTTTAAAATTATACCTAACGTTTAGTTTTTGTTTCATTTTAATATCTTGTCGTTAAAAGCTTAACAGACAGGTTAACAGGGTATAACTCTGATGGATGGACGATCAATCCAAATGATGGACCATGAGAGAATGACAAGTCGACTAACATAGTCCAATTTTAGGTCTATCAGACTGCTAATGACAGAGATCAGAGTATGAAGGAGTCGAAGAGTCTATCGTTGATTTGGGGAGATTGAAGCATTTTCAGTGAAACAGATGCCGGGATCACCTTTAAGGGGTCAAAAAGGTGCATGTTAAAAAGTTTGTGCTTCATCGATCGACAGATGAGACAACTGTAGACACATCGGACAACAAACCCATCAGTTAAGTTCTCAACAATAGACACTAAAATGAAACAAATTCTAAATGTTTGATATAATTTTGAAAAAATTGAAAGTTTAAGTATTAAAAAGACCAAAATTGATAGTTTAGGTTCTAAACGTATAATTTACCGAAACTTTTAATAAAATCCACACTTTCAAATTTAAATTCTACAAATGAATTAAACTTAGAATTAATTACATGTGAACTGTGTTTTCAAAGATTCAATTAAATATTTTGAACTGTTGAGATTAACTTAAAATTCAGGGATCTCTACTTGAATTAAACCTTATACAACGACAAAATAAAAAGGAAACGAAGGACCCACGTTGGCGTGAACTGGAATAGCAGCGGGTTTTGCTTAAAGAGAGGTGAAAGCAGGCACGTTCTGGTCTGATTTGATTCAATTAAATTTCAAAGCTTTAAAAAAAAGAGTAAATTACAAATTTGATAACTAAACTTTCAGACGATATATATTTTACTTATTTTACTTTTAAAATTTTTAATTTAATTATCAAACTTTATACATATTTTTTGTCACTCAGCCGTTAAATAATTAATGGCATTATGACGTGAAAACTTATACTAAAATGACGTAGTTTTGAATCTTTAAAAAATTAAAATTTTGACCAAATTGACGTTGTTTTAATCTAAATAAAAATTATATTTCCTTTTTTCCTTCATTTTTTTCCTTTCTCCTCTTTATTATTTTTCTTCATCCTATCATTTCCATTTTCTCTACTATGGAAGCTGAGGAAAAACATGCGATGGTCTTGAGTCTTGGCTGTTGCTGGAGCCGACGAAGAAGAAGAATACGACATGCAAGGAAAATTGAAAACAATTTTTCGGTATTTTCATCCTTTTTATTTTTCCCCCTTTTCCCTCTTTATTCTTCTTCTTCTTCCTCTTTGTTTTTTTTTTTTGTGTTTTCATTTTTGAATTTTAGAGAGAGAACAAAAACATTTATTGTGATTGTTTGGATCTTGGAACAAGTTTATAAGATCTCCATTGGAGTTGTTTGTGGACTTTTATGGTTGTCTGATTAATTTGCAATTTTTTTACGATATGATTTGGGGTTTGGATTTTGTATAGGATTTTGGGTGTAAATTTCAATTAGTAATTGTGATTGCTTGGTTCTTGGAACAAGTTTATAAAATCTCCATTGGAGTTGCTTGTGGACTTTCATGACTGCCTTATTAATTTGCAAGATTTTTTTTGTGGTAGGATTTGGGGTTAGGATTTTGTATTGGGTTTTTTCTAATTAATTTTATTAAATCGAAATCTTATGTGGCGTCTTATGTGGTTGAATTTTAATATTAAAAGAAGTCACGTCAATTAGTTGTTAGGGATATAACAGTAGAGTAATAAAAAAATTTAATCTATAAAGTTGAGTGGGTAAATTAAAAATTTTAAAAGTATTGTGAGTAAAATAAGAATCATATGAAAGTTCAGTTATCAAATTTATAATTTTTCCTAAAATTCGAAATAAAGAAATAAAAGAACAAATCAAGTAGGAAAAAAAGAAAAGAAAAAAACATTGAATCTATTATTCAGCAAACCTTATTTATTCTTTTTTCACTCACATAAAATCGTCAGTGGTTTCTTCAAAAAAAAAAAAAAAATCGTCAGTGGCTGCCATATAGAGAACCCCAATCTTGGTAAGCTCTCTTTGGGTGGTTTATTTTGTACAATTTAACATATTTGTTATATGCCCAGATGCTGAAATTTCTATTTTGTTGTTTCTTTTCTTTTATTTGAATTTATACGTGTATTGAATTCTTAGTTTATTCTGTATCAAACCCTATTTTGTTATCTTTTCTGAGTCATTGAAGGGACTTTAGCTTGTAAAAATCATTCTTTTTAAAATACCCAGTTACATGATCTTTACCTTGATCCTTCTTTTTAAGGTCAACGTTTATTTAGTTGGAATCTTGCTTATATTCTGATCTTCAAATTCCCTTTGAAACCCAACAAGTTGTTTCTTCTTTTGATGCTTGACATTTTGTTTGGACATAAGAGTATGTTTGAAGATCTAGCTAAAAAATTATGTTTTTGAGTCGCTTTTGTGCTTGTTTTATTCTACAGACCCTTTTTAGGTGCTGGAAAACAAGATTATGGCGACGATTTCAACCCATTTCCCCTTTGGTTTTTTGAGTTATGAAGAATATCTGTTGCTTGCTTATATCTAGTTGAGCATCTTTGGAAAAGCATTTGTCGATTTGAGGCTTTTGATCTTTATTGGCGATGGAGCATCTACCTATTGAAGTCATTGGAAACATCTTATCTCGGCTTGAAGATGCCCGGGATGTGGTGATAGCCTCTATGGCATGTCGAAAATGGCGTGAAGCTTACCGGATACACCTTCACACCTTAGCATTTAATTCTAATGATTGGCCTGCTTATCGTGATATTACAGCTAGTCAATTAGAGATCTTGATTACTCAAACAATATTCCAAACTACAGGACTGCAAGGCCTATCGATTTTAATGGATGATGTTGATGAGTTCAATGCTGCAACTGTAATTGCTTGGCTCATGTATACCAGGGGAACCTTGCGCCGGTTATTTTATAACGTCCGGACGAGCCCAAATGTTAACATTCTTGAAATCTGTGGGAGGCAGAAGTTGGAAATATTGGCAGTGGCTCACAGTTCGATAACTGGGGTTGAACCTAACTTTCAGAGATTCCCTTGTTTGAAGTCCCTCTCTCTGAGTTATGTTACTATTTCAGATTTGGATTTGAGACTTCTGCTCACTGCATGTCCGAAGCTTGAATGCTTGGAGCTTGTCGATCTAGAGATAGCAATTTCAGATGCACAGATGACACTTGAATTGAGCAGCCCAACATTAAAGAGTATTTATGTTGAAGCAATCAGTTTGGATAGATTTATGTTGGAGGCTGATAGCATCGAGCGTTTACACTTGAGGGATTGTTCCCTTGAGGTTTTTGAACTGATTGGAAAAGGCACCTTAAAATATTTAAAGTTTGATGATGCTATTGTGATACACCTCGACATGGGTGAGACTGTCGATAATCTTGAGGTTGTTGATGTTAGTAGCTATGCAATCTTCTGGACAAAATTCTACCAGATGATTTCAAGATCCTCAAAATTGAGGAAGCTTCGACTTTGGGACGTGACCTTTGATGATGAATACGAAGTTATCGATTTGGAAACAATTGCTGTTTGTTTTCCACAATTGAACCATCTTTCATTGCGGTACGAGTTGAGACATGGCGAAATGCATTACGGTCTCCAAGGATCTTCTAATTTGGAGACTGTGACGGTGCTGGAGCTTGGATGGACTGTACTCAACGACCTTTTCTCGCATTGGGTTGAGGAGCTGCTAAAACGATGCCCAAATCTTAGAAAAATTATTATTTTTGGGGTTGTTTCGGAAGCCAAGTCACACGCGGAATGCCAGATATTGGCCAATTTCACCTCGTCTATGGTTCAGCTCATGAGGAAATATATACAAGTAGAGGTGCAGTTTGAGTATGAGTAAAAAAAAATTCTCAACGACATTTCTAAATTCAAGCTCTGTATCAATTGTAGCAGATATACAGGTAGAATTTACAGAATGTAAATCCCAAATATCTTTCCTTTTTGTGCCTTATGATACATTGGTGGTATTTCTTCAGTTTGATAGGAAATTATATGCAATCAAAAGAATACTGCTGTTGTTTCACTCAATTGTCGTTCTGCTCCTTTGTGATTATTGACCATTTTGTTTTATTCCAAAGTTGAAAATTCACTCTATGCGATTAATGCCTGCTGTGGCATGAACCGTCCTTTTATGTATTATTGCTTTAAATTAACGGTTTTCACGAAGCTAAAATTCGAAAGTGCCTAATCCGAAACTAATATATAGTTTTGAGTGTATGCACAAGCCTAGGCCTAGCCTGTGAGAATAACTTCATTTTCGGAGTTTGTGGATTTTCAGAAGTGAAGGTAAGATTTATCAATTTGATGAATTACTTCGCCATGACAATCATAGTTAGAGGATTTCTTCTGAAAACTAATATATAGTTTTATTCTTCTTGTTAAACCAATTATCAGCAGTGTTTGTATCTTTGCTTCCTTATGACTGATTCTCTTATATAAAAAAAAGAGGGGCGAATTTCCCTTTTAAACTTTCTGATTGTTTGCTTATATGCTGCTGTTCATGTTGAGGCGTACTGCAGGGTGCACCGGCAACTAACAGAGATTGTAAAAGTACTAAGAGTTGTGATTTTTTGTATTTCCTTTTGCGTTGCAATTCTCGATTTATCTTTCCAGCTTCAAGACCCTTAGAAAATAAAATAGTCCATCTCTTGTACTTTCATTCTAACCTGACCTGTGTTTTTGTCGATGTGCTCCTCGGCAATCTGATATATTGTAAGCATAGCTTTCCTCTCACATCCTAGTATTACATTAGGCATTGGTTTTTGAGTTATTAGAGGGGATTATGTTTTGTATCTGACATTTGCTTAGAAAAGAGTAGAGATGCAGTCACTTCTGCATTTGCATTGTTCATAATGAAGAGGCCATAGGATGACGAGTATGTTTTAACTATATCTTTTGCTTCTTGTATATTTCTAGAAGCAACAGAATTGCGGAACGGATTGCAGAGAAAGGATTAACAGAATTGCAGTCCTTCTCATCAAAAGTAATATGGAAGGGGAAAGTCTCTCCTTGGTCTCTGCAATCGGCATGTTTTTGGCATAAATAATGTAAGCATGCAAGAGATTGTAATATTCACTTGCAGTCTTATTCCTATTAAACTGCAAATCTGCAATGAAGGAGCTTATTGGCATTAGGCAAGTAGGCAAGTTGTGATGCCTGCAATTACACATGTTTGGTTAACTTACCTACACGAAGAATTGTTTCTTACTACATTTTGATTTCAGCTGAAAAAATGAATTCGTGTTGTGAATCTGCATGAGTTTTCCCTTGTCGATGAACACTAATGCCCTTTTCTTAAACTCGGTGTTCAAGGGAAACCGAGTCGAATTTGACAGCAGCAACACCACGCAAGCACGCACGCACCTGTAGACGTGCATATGCATTAAAAAGGAAGAAAGTGTACTACAATTGAGAAAGAAAAACTCTCGACTCCGTCGGTGCCTCACTTCTCTTTATGTTCTTGTAAAGAAGTTGCAGATGCTGAAATCCGAATTTATGTCAATTCGATGAAAACACTTTCCTTCTTCGCATTAAAATTTATGTAAAGAAGGAAAATGTTTTCATCGAATTTCATTTATGCACGGGCATTATCATTAGAATTCTACTTATCTAAGGTGATTTTTTTAATTCGAACTTGGACAAGTATTAGGTGAATGCTCGAGTTTGAACGGATGATTGACAATTCAAAAGATATGCATGACATACTTTGATTATTTAAATTTAGTTGTATATGAACTTTATCCAATAATTTCCTTCTCCCATTAATATTTTAATAACAAATTTGTTAGTTTACGCTAAATGATAAGATGATAATAATAATAATAATCAAAATAAGATTTTGAAGTAACAACTATATGTGGTGCTGCTTGCCATGTCTTTTTCATATTGGTTATATTAGATAATATAATTATTATTGGTGTAGCTGTATCAGAAAATACTTAAGTGAGTTGGTCAAATTAAAATGTATACAAAAACACAAGAGGGTTTTCTACACAATTCATATCAATCGGTCAACGATCCTATCTTCATAAAGTCTTGCTCAGAGAAAAGTTCATTATAATGTTTTCAATACAAATTTCATAAATCTTCAACTTAAGTACACATGCTAAGTTCATTATAAAGTTTTCAATGCAAAATTCCTAAATCTTCAACTTAAGTACATGTTACGTGTGTGAGTGTACTATAATATGGTGCGTAAAATTGTGCAAGTATACACAATCGAACAAGTAATATAGTAGCGAGTGAGTATCGTCTTCACAGGGATTGGAGGGACTTCGAGTAAAGCTTATGCACTTAAACTAAAGACAATAAATTGTAAAATGGTATAAACAAGGTGATGTGAATGCTGTGGAAAAGTAATGATGTGGTTGAAATGCTATGACAAACAATAAAGTGAAGTATGCTATGAAAAAATAGAGTTGAGAAATGGGAGTACAAGATAAGACAACGATACAACCTCACACATGTGGAACTCTCAAGATGGATAAACGGCTAGGTCTATCTTGGAATACTATATTTTGTCCTCAATGAATGCTTAACATTTTCCGATTAGTACGATGCTCGACAAAGTTTTCTAAGTTGTTTCTAGGTTATCTCTAGTAAGAAACATGACAGTGAAAATGCTATAGCAATACTTCTCAGCATGAATCCTAGCAAGATACTATCGATTAAGCCCTACTCCTTTTGCCTCCTAGGTCAACCCCATTGTTCACTTAGATCTAAGCTTAACTCTCTCGATATCAAGCATCACACATAGATAAAGGCTATCTCTCGAAAGCTCTTACAAATCTAAGCAATAAAACAATGAACAAAGCATGTGTATAAATTGGAAATGCTGCAGCAGTAATTAAAACACAAAATAGATTCATCCAAAATAAACCCAAGCCAACTTAAGCTAGTTCAGGGTTGGGTAATTAACATTCGTAATCATCTATTTAATACAATCCATATCCAACAAAAGATGAAGAAAATAGAGAACAACTAAGTGAGGAAGAGAACTCCCAAGCCAAGAGTCGTTATGGACTGTCATGAACCACCCAAGTGCCGCTGCTTCTCTTAAAGGCCAGCAAGCTTTATCCCCTTGGAGCTCCAATAATAGAGGTCACCACGATAAAGAAGAGAAGAATGAAGAGTGGATGCCTCTCACCTTTTCTCTCTTATCTCATAAAATCTAAAAACTATCTCATAAATGTGGTGTCTTTTTCTTTATATACTGGGGGCTCCTAGGGTTGAGTGCCCTAATTCCTTTTATATCCTAAGGGAATATTCCCTTCACATGTATGGGCTGGACAATTGGTACAGGGCATTCACGTGTGATAGCTAGTAGTAACAATAAAATATCTTCATATTTTTGTCATTTTTTGCACCCAGAAAAGTTGTCTAGAATGTTGCTTCAATTTTCCACCCAGGAATGCTATCTAGAATGTTGCGGCATTTTTCAATTTTCCTTCAGTTTTCTTCACCTGCACAAATCACCACCAAAACACTACCTTTCTCCCATCAAAGCATCATTTATAAGATAATTAAAGACCAACAAGCAAACTACACCGCAAGTTTGATAAATGCAACTAAATACCTTTTTATGGAGTTATCAGTACACGTACTAATTGTATCCACTTTCTGTACAATAATGTTTCTCAAAGAAATCGACTAATGTGAAATAATAAAGTTGTATACATTCGACCCACTTTTTTCACCCTCTATAAATGGATGAAGAATGTGATGTTTGGGGTTTGATGGGAGGGTCCAATGCCAATGATTGATTTACATGAATATGATAATATTCCCCATGGCACCTTCCTAATAACTCATACATCACATTATATACATAAATACACATTTATCAAGCAACTCAAGTAATGATTCCAATCCAGAATCTGAACCAACTTGGGGCTCCAGTTTAGTTTAAATACATTATTTTATTCTGCAAATCAACTAATCCATACAACATAATAAATAATTGATCCAGAATATTATATAATATTAATTTTTTTTATAAGGTGAACATAAATAAAATTTTAAAATAACAAATAATTATTGAAGAAAAAATCGTGTTTTAGTGTCCATTCTCAATAGAACGTGATTCCGTCACCGAATATAATTCACTTCTCATGCTTAAAGCACAAGCAATATTAAACAAGATCTAGTAATGCTGATAGTTAAGGGTAGGAATTGTTTCTCTCTCTCTCTTTTGGGGTTAGTCTGCAAATTAAGGGGTAGCTTTGAGGATATACATGCAAACAAGCATTGAATTGTATGTCTGGATGCAAAGTTTGGGACAGTGCCAACAAAGAGACCTTACCTAATCATGGGGATTAAGCCCTTAAACAGGGCATTATTTTGCCAAGTCTTCAAATCATGGTGTAATTATGGTTTGGGGGACCATCCCAAAGAAAGAAAGACAAATTTCTAATTAAGGGAAAAAGAATATGAAAATGTGGCATTGGGGGTTGGTTAGGTGATGAAAGGGAAAGGGATGTTGACCCATCAACAAAAGGGCATCATTCCTAATAAGTCCATCTCAAAGATCAAAGGAATTATAAATACACAAGTGGGGGTTCATCATTATTTTAATGTTGTGGTTGAACAACAAGTTTAAAGAAAATCAAGACCATTATTTGTCCAAAAAAATAAAAGAAAAGTAAACTCGTATAATCTCACACCTCCTTTTTAGACTGCTTAATTCTGCCTTACAACCATACTTGTTTTCCTACCTTGATAATTAAATGTTTTTGGTACCTTCCCATCGATAAATATATTTTTATCTAAATAATTCAATAATGTGAAAAAAAAAGTTAAAGGGTAAATTTTCAAATGGGTCACTATTCTTTTATCTTTGTACATTTTTGTTCATCAAATTTAAAAAAGTTACGTTTTGGTCATATATGTTATCAATTGTTATATTATGGCCATTGAATCATTAACTTTTGTTAGTTTGATGACATGACACGTTAGTAATAAAATAGTTTAACTTTTAATTTGGCAATTGAATTTTAGATGAATACTAAATTTACATATGAAATTTAGACGAAATAGCATTTTGACCCATAAACTTTAGGTAAAATATTAATTTGACCATTGAATTCGACAAAAGTCTCCTCTTTTGACCGCCACTCACTACTGTGGTTGTCAAGCCTTCATCGATCGTTTTCACCAACAACTGTTGAATCTCAAAATTTCAAATTCACTAATTTTGACCTCTTGAGCACGAATTTGGTGTCCGATTCACCAAATTATATATCAGACTCAATAGATATAGTTTAGAACTTCATTTGAAGTTAAATTATAATAATAAATTCATCATTATTATTTCTTTAAAAATAAAGAAACTAAATAATTACATTGTTTTTTAGTTTATAATGTTTTTAAATAATTTAAGAATGTGAAAAATCAATTATTAAAGTAGAAAAATGAATAAAATTAAGAACCAAGACAAACAATATGAGAAATTGAGACGCGTATACTATAAAGATGAAGAAAACCGCCCATTTTCTGTTGTATAACCTTTTCCATACTCTTTTCCCTACCAATCTCTATCCATTTTATTAAGAAAGAAAACCTTGTATTATCTAATATTCAATGCTGGATCAAGTGCTGTCCATTTATTACATCATTTTTTAAAATAAATAAAAAAATTATATATATTTCTTTATTTTATTATTAGTATAGTACTTTGCAGAGCTGAAGAGGTCCATGAAATCGAGCCAATGAGAGGCAACAGGCGGTTAAAGAGAGAGAGTGGAGTTGGAGTCGGTGATTCTAGTGGGTTCCTCTGAGTAATTTTTAAACTTCAAAGATCCCCCACAAGGGAAGGGTCAGGGCCTGTGTGCAGTACCGTAATAAAATGAATAAGAGTTCCAGAATCTGATACAATTTCCTACAATCTTACACGACAACAAGGTGCTGTAATAAAAGCAAAACAGAAACACACACCGGATCTCAAGTTGAAAGCTTTTTTCAACTTATCTTCCTTGTGCACTACCCCCATCTCCGTCTTCTTCTTCAGCGACCTTTAGCTGAGGTAAGCTAAACATAAACCTATAGCCACTTTGGGTTTTCTTTGTTTTGTTTCTGGTTTCTGAGTGTGTTTCATCGTGCTGCAGCATGTTTTCTTTTTTCGTTTCAGCTGTTTCTGGTTTGGAGAATGGTGTAAAGATCTGTTGCCTGGCGAATCATAGAGTTGGAGAGACCGGTTTGACTGACTCGGGAACTTCGAATCGCCATCATCATAATATCCCTTATGCAGTTCTTCATGGAATGAATGTTCCCACAAGTTTCATGTATGTTAACTTCTTCTCTTTCAAATCTGATCCTTCTCTTTTCCTTGTATTTTTCATCAAGCTCCCATTCCTCAGCCATCAAGAAGGTTCCTCCGATTTAGGAGATCTAGAAGAAGCAATTGTGGTGCAGGGAGTCAAGATCCGAAACGATGAAGCTAAACCACGTATGATCCTTTCCTTTCCCATATCATTAACACATACGATTTCGGTTCTTACTTCGTCATCAATATTCGACAAAAGTCAGTAAAACCGCAATGGCGATATTAAACACGACACGAAGGGGTGAGATAGAGAGAGGAGAGAGAGAGGATACAGTGTAGAGGGAAAAAAACAGGTAAAGAGGAAGACAATAGAATGACGTTGAGGAACCAAACATGGAAAACAATGACCTGTTTAGCATGATTTTTATTTACTGACTCCCCCATCATAACTGTTAAAAAAATGATATAAAATAGCAAACCAATATATATACAATCTTGGTGGTCTTTATCTTGGTTGATCTTCTGAGATTGTACACTTTGCTTTTTGTGTGATTCTTTGTGCAGCTTTATTCACACCAGGCAGACCAGCAGCTACCCTGGAGATGTTCCCTTCTCGGCCAATGAGATTTCAACAAATCCCAAGAGTAGTTTCTTCTTTTTAACCCATCTGTTTGACCATTCCTTTGTACTGGACGTGATTCACAGTGGACCATTTTATCTGTTTTTTTAATACGTTTCTTATACTCAACAGAGTTGACAAAAATATTTAATATTTATACTTGATTTCATCCAGGGAAGTTCAAAATCAGGAGGGGAAAGCGCTGATTCAGGTTCAGCAGTGAATACAATCTCCAGCAAAACTGAGAACCAGCTTGAACCGGAATCTCCGATCAATAGTACTAGAAAGACAACTCCTTTGGTTCAACAACAGCAAAAACAACAAGATATGGCGAGTGAAATCTCAAGACCCCAAGAAAAGGTTCTTCTTCAAAGTTAAAGCCTTGTTTTTTTTTTTTACTATATTTCCTTTCCATTTCCCAACAACTGAGGAAAAGTAGGTATCTTATTTGTTATTATTACTGTTTTGATCCTTCTCTTTCTCTTTCTCTGGGCCTATCTTTATTCAAAGGGGTACACAGATCCCAACAAACCCTCAGAAAATCACAGGATTCAGAGTTTTTTCCTTGATCCCTGAACGATTTTCTGACATAAAAATAGTGAGAGAAACACAAATTACACATTGGAAAGCAAAGAGACAATCTGTACTACTACTACTACTACTACTAGAACCTTTGTTTTTTGACTATAAAACCATGACCCCACTTTTACTCGATCCCCATAACTCACAGATGAGCTTCATGTTTTTTATACTGTAGAAATCACTTTGAGAATTAGAAGAAAAACCCTCCCCCCTCCCCCCTCCCCCAAGGTATACACCCAAAACTCAGTATCCAAAAATGGCGGAATTTGATGATTTTTGCTACCCTTACCATGTTCATGATTACATGTTACAAGAGCAAGAGTCACATCGCCATCAGCAATCAGCTTCTCTTCCCAGAAATTTTGTGAGATCACTTTTGATCATTGTTTTCTTTGAAGAAAAAAAAGCTTGGCTCTTTAAGTTAGCTAGATAGTTTAACTGTTAGCAAAATAACTGAGTTTTTGTGTGTTTTTTTATATCATGAACTCATTTATCATATTTTTTAGCCTACCAAACAATCAAATGCTCTCAATTTCCTGACCAACTTCTTGTCTGGGTTTGATAAGAGACTTTAAAATCACCAACCACTGCATTTTTCATCTTCTTTTTTCCTTTTCCTTTTACACTTTTCATTATTTATTATAATAATTTTTTTCTAATTATGTTGCAGAAAAGGGGTTCAACTTCTGAGAAACAGCTTGATGCTAAGGTACAGAAAAATCTATCTTTGTTTCTCTTCTTTTTCAAAAAACATTTCAGTTCAATCTATTTAAAATTGTTTTTTTTTCAGACACTAAGACGGTTAGCACAAAACAGAGAAGCCGCCAGGAAAAGTCGTCTTAGAAAAAAGGTTGTATAACATGGAAACATTGCTTGAAAAACCCAACATTTGCATGGTTACTTGTATTAGTAACTAACTGGTTTACTTGTCTTAAAACAGGCTTATGTTCAACAACTAGAATCAAGTAGAATAAAGCTAACCCAACTGGAGCAAGATCTTCAGAGAGCACGATCTCAGGTTTTTTTTTCTTTCCCTCTACAGAAACACATGATTTTATCTGCAAAAGACACTGTTTCTTTTGTTTATTTATTTATTTATTTATTAATTTTTGAATATTGTGATATAGGGCTTTTTCTTGGGAGGTTGTGCTGGTGCTGTTGGAAATATCAGCTCTGGTAATTTCAAGATATACGCTTTTATAAAACATTAAGATTATCGATTTAATGTACATCAACTGGGATTTTATATGTTTGTTTCATTACCATTATTGTCGTGTTTGTTTCATTTTAGGGGTTGCAATCTTCGACGTGGAGTATTCGAGATGGTTAGAAGATGATCAAAGGCACATGTTGGAGCTTAGAACTGGACTAAATGCACACCTTTCCGACAGCGACCTTAGAATAATCGTAGACAGTTACATATCACATTACGATGAGATTTTCCGGTTGAAGGTCGCTGCCGCAAAAGCCGATGTCTTCCACCTTATAACCGGCATGTGGACGACTCCGGCGGAACGCTGCTTCCTTTGGATGGGAGGTTTCAGGCCTTCCGAGCTCATCAAGGTGACAAGTTCCCAAATGCATCCTTATCTAAATATCGACACGTTAATAATTCATGTCATATTCGAATTTATCTATAAAAATACTGTTTCTTTTTGCAGCCATTTATCTTTGTACCGGTTCTGATTTGTTTTAATCATTGATCAGATGTTAATATCTCAATTAGATCCATTAACTGAGCAGCAAGTGATGGGGATCTATAGCCTCCAGCATTCTTCACAACAGGCGGAAGAGGCACTCACCCAAGGCCTCGAACAGCTCCAGCAGTCGCTGACCGACACCATTGCCGGCCGTCCAGTCGTCGACGGAATGCAACAAATGGCTGTTGCCTTAGGCAAGCTTGCCAATCTTGAAGTCTTCGTTCGCCAGGTATCATCATTTACTTGGCCAATCCCGAAAGATCACCTAATGTTTAATAATATTGTCAAATTTAAAGGGTAAAATCAACGAGATAATGCGTTGAATTTTTTTTTTCACGAGATAGTGCCCTCGTCAGATTAATTGCTCAGATGGGATGATCTCTACAGTCCCACGTACCTGGGGGTAGGTCGCCATGCACGCCCAGCGACCTACCAGGTCGCCATGCACGCCCCAACACGCTGGGCATCAGAGGCCATCCGACCGAGGCCATCCGAAAGCATCCGAGGCCATCCGAGAGCATCCGAGGCCATCCGACCGAGGTCATCCGAACGAGCTATGCGAGGGCAACCGAATTCCCTCGCTCGGTTGCCCTCGAATTCCCTCGCATAGCTCGCTCGGTTGCCCTCGGATGCCCTCGCATAGCTCGTTCGGATGGCCTCGGTCGGATGATCTCGGATGCTCTCGGATGGCCTCGGATGCTTTCGGATGGCCTCGGATGCCCAGCGTGTTGGGACGTGTATGGCAACCTTTGGGGGCTGCATGGATTGCATGGCGACCTACCTAGGTTGCTGGGCGTGCATGGCGACCTAGTAGGTCGTTGGGCGTGCATGGCGACCTAGTAGGTCGCTGGGCGTGCATGGCGACCTATATGGGGACTGTAGAGATCACCCCATCTGAGCAATTAATCTGGCGAGGACACTATCTCGTGAAAAAAAAAATTCAACGCATTATCTCGTTGATTTTGCCAATTTAAAGCGTCCAAGTCTAACTAGAATTTAATTAGTGGCAAAATGGTACTTAATGAGATTGAAATAATTTTAATGAGGGAATTTTTTTAATATTAATTGCTTTAGTCCATTGCCATGAATGGGATTGATTGGGTATCTTTATCTATAAAAGTTCCTATCAAAAAGGTGGCTCGATAGTGATATCTTTTGGAATAAAAACCCTAGCTTCAACCATCAATGGAAAGTCATGATTGATTACTTTATAATAGACCCAATCCTAACATTAACATAAACTTCAAAGCTTTATATATTAAACTTGTATGTGTGTGCTGTAGGCTGACAATTTAAGACAGCAAACCCTTCACCAGTTGTCTCAAATATTGACGGTCCGACAAGCGGCGCGGTGTTTTCTGATGATCGGAGAGTACTACGGACGTTTGCGAGCACTCAGTTCCCTCTGGGCGTCTCGTCCTCGAGAGTAAGATCTCTTAATATTATATAAAGCATTTTGATTTGCGTAAAGAAACCCTAACGGGAAAATATACATGAATTAACCATAATCCCCCCCCGGCCCAAAAAAATGGACATGATAAGATATTAAACAACATGAGGTTTACCTACTTTTAAACAAATATTCTCAAAATTCTTCTCTTTAATTTGTTGGCTCATGTGTATATTATTACAATTTATGTGTAGTTATTGATTAGTCCAATTAACGATGAAAGTATGCATGATGCAGGAGCATGATGAGTGATGATCACTCGTGCCAAACAACAACAGACTTGCAAATGGTCCAACCCTCACACAATCATTTCTCAAACTTTTGATAAAAGAATAGAAAAAGAGTTCCCAGAATGTTGGAGCAATCAGAATCCTGTGTTTTCCACGATGAAGCTGCCATGCAAAATATTATATATTATTGGATTTTACTAAGCTACTTGATTTAAAGGATATCTTAGGGCTTTATTTTTCTTTGCTTTTTTTTTTAGTTTCTTTTTTGTATTAACATTATCACTGTAAATGAGAAAAAAAATCAATTTTAATGTGCATCAAGGAGCTAGCTTTCTCCTTTCTTTAAAGAAATTAAATTATCATCAAAGAACAGTCAAAGTTGAAATTAAAAGTATTTATATATGAGAGATATTAAAATGAATTTAGATTGAAAATTGAAATTAATCTAAATTCAATTTGATAAAATAATTGATGATTTGAGATTAAAAAGGCATAATGTCAAAAAAATTATAATGTTTGATAAAATAATCATTTTCCCTTTTTTTAAGAGTATTTTGTCCCCTATTAGTTTATTTTAAGGGGAGAAGGTCATAACGTTTTAACTAAATAGTCACTTTAACTTTTATTCTTCTTTTTAGAACATTTTGTCCCTTAATATTTCTTTTTAGCACAAAATTGCTCCTATTTTGGAGCATCACTTGTTTGCTGACTAATGATTTTTCATCTACGGATGTGTCTTTTAGCCCCAAAATAAAACGTTGAGGGCCAAAATGACTATTTAATCAAATATTAAGTATATTTTTTTATCATTATGTCATTAAATAATGGCTTAATAAGTAAATTGACACCTAAACTATTTCAAAATTTTCATTTTGATCCTTAAGGTTGTTTTTAATCAAAAGTGACTCATAACATTTTATTCCAATTAGAACCTACAAATCAAATTAAGAGATAGATTTACTGTTTCACACAAATCACCTTATTTAAGAAATGTCATAAGTGTGTTGTTAAGAGTTTTGAATGTTGTGTTTACAACAAGTGTTAAGTAATTAATATACTAAGGAAGATAATAGTTAGAATAAATTGTACGGAGGCCTTCAACTTGTATGTGCAGTTGCACAAGTGAAACTTATCTCAGTGGTTAAAAGGAATCGTTGTTGTTCTATAGGTCAGAGGTTCGAGCACCAACAACTGCGACAGGGTGATTGAACGTTCATTGTCAAATGGTTGAGAGTATTTAGAACATATATTATTTTGTAATTAATCACCTTAGCTTAATAAAAAAAAAAACTTGTATGTGTAGTTAGGTTAAGGATAGGTGTCTCAAAAATGATACCAGTCCATCCAAATGATTGCCTATACAGCCCTTTTTTTTTGGTTTTGGGAAAGAATAATTTTATTATTGTGTTAAACTGAAAAATTTTCAAATATTTAAAGAGTTTTTTTCAAGTAAATTGATCATATTTGAGGGCCAACATCATGGTCTACCCTTTGATTATAGATAATTTAAATAGGTATATAAAAAATGGCTATTATCTACGCATTAGTCATCTATTTCTACGTTCACAAAACACAAATAGATTGATACATGAAGTCAGTTTGTATCCTTGACTCCCGTAGCTGGCTCTTGAAGCTAAAATGAAAATAAATAAATAAATAAAAAGGTGTTGAGAGAAATAGATAAAGCCAGACTTGTAATAAAATTATTATTATTATCATAAGAAATCAAAGAAAAAAGAAATTTGTTTTCTCTCCATTAATTGAAAAATGTGGAAACGACAAATACTAATATTGTTAGAGTGGACGCGAGACATTGTTGTATATAGAGATGAAAAAAAAAATCTGAACCCGACGGGGAAAATCGAAAACCGAATTAAACGGGGATGGGAAAAAATCGTTTATGTTAAACGGGGAAAAACCGTTTATGTTAAACGGGGACGGGGACGAGGACGGGTTTGATAATCCCCGCCCCGATTACCCGGCCCGATATCCGGCCCGATAAATATTAAAAATAATTATTATATATATATATATAATATTAATAAATTTAAATTAAATTTAAAAAATATATATAATATTTATATATTTAATTTAAATATATATACCCGAACCCCGATACCTGTTTAAATAACCGTTTATGCTAAACGAGGATATCCGTTTCCCCGCGGTTTTCCCCGATTACCTGATGGGGATCCCCGTTTAAATCCCCGTGGTTTTTTAAGTGGGGACGGGTACGGATTTTTTAAACGGGAACGGGGATGGGGGACCAATATCCGGCCCGAACCCGGCCCGTTGCCATCTCTAGTTGTATATTTACAATTTCATTGATGTTTAAATTATTTCATTTATTTGAAGTGGTTGAGAGATGTTTTATTTTAATGAGGAGAAAGACAATAAAATAAGAGACAGACAAACCGACAGACAAGGAGGGGTTTGTTTCTTTTACCCTAAATTCCGAGTTAATGGAGTGCTGGATGACATAAATATCTCTCTTAAAGTAATATTTATAATAAAGTATATATTAGATCTATATCGATTAAAAATATATTAAATTATAATATCTGTTTCAATTCTATGTATGAAAATGGGAACATATTTATATTTATTGGATAAATATAATAAGGAAATGAAAACAGCATGCTTGGTGCATGAAATGTTCGCTTTTCACACGTATTATATAATTATGTATAGGGTTAGAGTTGTATGATTCAAAATTTTGATGATCTAATTGAAACTATTTATTTAAAATATAGATTAAAAAGGAATCTGCTGCAGCGGGCCGATGAAAAATAACAAGTTCAGTTGAGTAGATATTTTATATAAGTTTTTTGTGTAAGCGAAGAATGTCACTATAAATAAATATTAGAGACTAAGATTTAGAAGTAAATTAATTATATAATTAAGGACATAAGCTGATTAACTTATCTTTTTTACTTAAATATTTCTTTAAATCAACGCCTAAATGCTGCTTTGCTCATCACTTGTTTATATCAACTGTTTCAGTGACGATGGACCGTTCAAATAATACTAATAATTTTTTAAGTTCATTAATTACGTAATTTGTTATAAATAATTATGATATTTTTGTTATAGAATTGTTCACTAGCCGAGTAAGCCTGACGAGTTGTCTGATGAGACTGAAATTTTCAATCAAAATGATTGTTACACCTCGTCTCGTCTTACAATAAAAAAAATGATTTAAGAAGGAAACCATACATTTGACCTCTCGAGCAATCATATTTATAATATCTATTTCTAATATTCTTTAGGATTAACTTGTTCATTTTTGCTGATGTGTCTCGAAACTGAAATTAAATTTATTATCTCGAATAAATTCAATTTATAATTATTAATAAATATGTTAATTTTATGATACATATATGATATGATATATACACCTGCACCTTATTCATAATTGGTTTTATACATACAGAAGATTTCATCATAATTACAGTTTTTCTCTTCATTTTGCATCAGATAGGCTGCTAAATTAGTAACCTAACTTTGCTAATGCAAGGGGTCAACAATATCAGAATGCAAATTTCAAACCCGAGAGATCATCCATCGGTATTTCTAACCCTATTGAATCATGGTCTTGCAAGCCATCTTCATCGAAGTTTAGCCATGAGCTCAGATCTTGCGGACCATCGATCTCGTTCGGGACACCCAATTCCTCCATTGTATCCAGCTCGTTTAGTTGCAAGTTCGCAAAATCCATTGGATCGTCTGCTTCTTTAGTTGAATTCTGATGGATCTTATCAGTAGGTTTCAAAGGTCCTGTAGGCCTTCCGTTGAATCCATTTCCAGAACTTGATAAATGACTATGTTTTTGCTTGGTTTTTGCTTTCGTTTTCTGCTCGTCCTTCGAACTAGTATTTCTCAGATTCTCTCTGCTTTGCTCCCTTCCGTTTACTCCTCCAACACTGCCATCAAGAGTCGATGTTACCCTAGACGAAGCACTACCAACAACATCATCGGTAAGTACTTCCCTCTTCGTCCCTTTGTTCAACAGAGATCCATACTTTATTTCCGATGAATCATTCCTCTCGTAAGTACTCGAAACAGCACCTGTAGCAGAAGTGAAATGAACATGAATAAAGCTGTTTGAAAGTTAAACGAGGCATGTACCCAAGCATATGAAACAAGACGAGATAACCGTTTTGTTTCTTCCATCATTGAGCAAAAAATGCTCTCGAATCCTAGTTAAAACCAAAATGCATAACCTTGAATAGAAGGTAGAATTTTCGATACCTGAGCCCCTGGCTTCTCCTTGATGGTTGGAAGTTTCATTACAAATATTACTAGCAGTTCCGGAGCCAATACAATCAACAGACTTTGCTTCTTTGCTGCATGGAGATACAGAAAACATAATATCTTGCAAAGCTGGTTCACTAAAGCAACTATTGCCGGTCTGTTCAAATTTTTTACATCTACCAACAGTTCGCTTGACAAAAGCCAATGCAACTTGTTTCGAAACCTTACGAACTGCACTTTTGGATGAATTATTCCTACGACATGCCTGCATAAATTGTTTGAAAAAAATATCAATTGCTTCACATATAAAACAAATAAACCATTCAACAACAGTATACGAGATGTTACGCCCAATCCTCATCTAAATCAACAATAAAGTATGTAAAAAGGCCTGGCATCTGTAAAACTCGCCAATAAATTGCCAATACCAGACTAATACTGCATTGACTACATAGCAAGAAAAAGTTCCATGCCGTGTGATTTTTTTTTTGATAGGAAGTTAAGGCTTCGTTAAAACCCCCTTCATGATTAATGGAACACCAATTGGTGTTCCTTAATCAACGGAAGGAGGAAAAGAGTGTCTCATAATTCATTAATAAGTAAAAGATTACATAATGTTTAAAACAAAAAAGCCCCTTATAAAAACAACCCGAAACACACCAAAGAACACATCTTTCACTCTATTAAACAATATCCCAACCCAACAAACAATAACTACCCAATACCAGCCTTAGCTAAGCTATCAGCTTCTATGTTTGCCGTTCTGTCAACCCATCTGATAACTCCTTCCAAAACTCTTATCATGGCAACAATATCTAGGGATGGCAAAAAAACCTGAACCCGACGGGGAAAACCGAATTTAACGGGTCAGGTTCGGGGATGATAAACAGGGACGGTGACGGAAAAAACCCGTTTATGTTAAACGGGGACGGGTTTGGTAATCCCCGCCCCGATTACCCGATTATCCGACCCGATACTCGACCCGATAAATATTAAAAATAATTATTTTTTATATATAATATTAATAACATATTTTAAATTAACCCTTAAATATTTTTTATTATTTTTTTACCCCATACTGACCTACTTTAAAACATCGTCCCCGCTTCAATTTCTAGAATTTACCTCAATTTTCGCTGTCTCATAAAATTCTTTTTTTCTTTTAATCGTGAAAATAGTGCTTACACTTCTTGTTTGCAATCACGTGTGAACCTTTAATATCTTTTAATAGACAAACATTGTCTAGTTAAATGGGAAAAGTCTTGTTGGTTTGGTGGTATTGTGCCACTTCCAACGAACGTGTACTTGTTGCAGGGTCCTCGTCCAATACACCATTACACACCTGAAGCCCACCACTAGCATTGGCAAGCTGGAAATTATGTCTAGCAGAATTTAAAATCAATGCAACTTGCATATTGTCTTCGTCTCTTCGACAACAACCCTCCTTTTCACCTCGCATTCCAATAACCTCATACAAGCTGTCTCCATTACACAAGCTTTAACGTTCCTCTGACAAAGCGAAGTATGTGAATTAGCCATATTAAAATCAGCCTTGGGACCTATACCAACATCACGTTCTTCCCTAGCAAATGGAACAACAGCTGCTCTTTAGTATTAAATTCGAAAATTCTAAAAAATTTCGGTTAATTAAAAAATTAACCGAATTAACCGAAATTTATTCGGTTCGGTTAATATTTTCGAAAAAAAATTTGGTTCGATTAACGGTTAAAGAAAAAAAAATTCGATTAATTCAGTTAATGGTAGTTCGGTCAGTTCGGCCACCGAATTAACCGAATGAACAACCCTACCAATACCCGTTTAAATAAACGTTTATGCTAAACGGGAATACCCGTTTCCCCGCGGTTTTTCCCGATTACTCGATGGGGATCCCCATTTAAATCCCCACGATTTTTTAAACGGGGACGGGTACCGGTTTTTTAAACGGGGACGGGGACGGGGACGGGGGGACCAATACCCGACCCGAACCCGGCCCGTTGCCATCCCTAACAATATCTTTGACTAGATGAAGGAAAATACCAGGACAACTATCTAAATTCTTAACCCAATCCACAGCAAGTTTGCTATCAGATTCAACAATACACCGATTCTTAAACCTCTGAAGAATATCAAAGATAAGTACCCCTCTTGATGGCAACAAGCTCTAGCAAAGTTGGAGGGCCTGGATCTGCAGATTCTTTAAAAGAACCCATAATCTTACCAGCCTCATCTCTTAGTAAACCACAACGCTCTTTGCCAATCATTGCAAAACTGCTGCATTCAATTTTAGAAAACCTTTGGAGGAGGAATCCAACACACAATTTTAGTAGTCGGATTTCTGGAAGAAGAACAAAAATCTGCAATAGATGGATCACTTATCAGGGAGTCTTTAGTAATAGTAACCTCGTTGAACTTAGCTAAGAACCAAGAAGCAAGCCTTAGCCTAGCCATGAAAAATAACTCGATGTGATCCAAAGACCTTCCTTCAAACACCACAGCATTCCTAAGTTTCCAAATGGTCCAAAGCACTACCCCGGAATTAAGGACCAAATAGAAGAAGAAAACATCATGTCATTCCAAACAAGTAAAAATCCTTGTGCATTTCCATGAAGGACCGAACTAATATTCCAAAAATTCAAAAACTTATTCCATAGGGACCATACTACCGTACAAGAGAAAAATAGGAGGAATAGATTCAATCTCTCCTTTACACAACGACAAGAAACATCAACAATCCCCGAAAACCCCTCTTTTTGAAGCTCAAACTTACTGCCAATTTCTGATGGGCTACTTACCACATAAAAGTTTCTATTTTAGGAGGCACCAACCCCTTCCAAATACATTTCTCCCAGAAACTATCTTTTACCGATTCAACAAAACAAATCTTCATACAAGAATTAACAGTAAAAATACCTTCCCCATTCTCTCTCCAAAGCAGACCATCTCTTGACTCTTGGGATAGGCTGAAATTATGAATGATGGCTAGAAAATTAGAAAATTGTTCTAACTCCCAATCACATAGGTTTCTTCTCAACTGGACATACCAAGACCACCCCGATGAATTGAACTCACCGAATTCCTTAATTATCCCAAACTATTCTAACTCACCTCGGGAAAACAGTCTTCAAAGGATGATCAAGAGCCCAAATATCTACCCAGAACCTGATTCTCTCCCCATTACCCACTTTGACTTGGAACATGCTACGAATCTTGGCACCAAACTCATCCTCTTTAAAATAATTATTAACCACCGATTTCCAAATCCAAGAAGCATTTGTAGGATATTTTTTAGAGAAGAAATCAATTAGTGTCTTGATTATATTTGGAACTTATCAACCTTTCCAAATTGATTCACTGTCATTAGCAAACTTCCAAACCATTTTTCTAATAAGGCCCTATTCATAAAATAAGATTCGAAGCCCTAAATAATCAAAAGGGAAAGTACCAACTGCACACCCAAGATCCCCCGCCTACTCCTTGACCTCTTCATCGGTAATATTAATGCCAAATAAATTACTTTGCTTAGATTAAGCTGTAGACCAGACATAATTTCAAAAACCCTTAGAACTCTCTTTACATTTAAAATATCCGTCTTAGAGGCATTACAAAAAATAATAAGATCGTCTGCAAATTGCAAATGGGATAGCATATAAGAACCTTCTTCTTTGCCGACAACCAAACCATTAAACAACCCCGAAGATACCGCCTTGAGAAGCAATTGATTAAGTAGCTCTCTTATAAAATTAAACAATAATGGGGGAAGTGAACAGCCCTGTCTAAGACCTCTTGACATTGAAAATTCCTCTGTAGGCACACCATTAACCAACACTGAAACTGATGCTGTGGTAACACACTTTCTTATCCAGCTGCACCATTTTATGCCAAAACCCATTTTGTCCATGACTTTGAAAAGAACATCCCAATCCACTGTATCATAAGCCTTCCGGAAATCTACCTTAAACACACAACCCTTTAAGCCTTTCTTTCTCCAAAAATCTATTCCTTCATTAGCTATAAAAGAACTATCCAGGATTTGTCGACCAGGAGTAAAAGCAAATTATGAAGCACTAATGACATTGTTCATGCAACATCTCAACCTTCTTGATAGACATTTCAAAAGGATCTTATACAATCCACATACTAAACTAATAGGTCTGAAATCATCTAAGCCCCCAATGTTTGAACCCTTAGGGATGAGGGTTATGAAGGTGTGATTAATGCCATGCTCCCAATTTTTTCCCAAGTAAAAATTATGAAAAAATTTCAGAATATCAAATTTCAATGTGGATCAAAACCTTTTTGAAAAATACCATGTTAAACCCATCCAGCCCTGGTGCTTTGTTGCTATCACATGAATTCAAGGCCTCCCAAACTTCTTCTTCCGTAAACCTCTTCTCTAAGCTTGTACTCTACTCTAAAGTTATTCTCGAAAAATTCAGCTTGATATCTTCCACTTCCAGGATAGACTTGAAATTAAAAGTTTCAACAAAATGATCACAGACACTTGCCTTGATGAGAGTCGGGTCATAAATGATTTCATCTTTCACTTTGAGAGCATTTAAAGAATTCAACCTCCTAATTGAAGCACAAGTATGGAAAAATTTTGTATTTCGATCACCTTCTTTTATCCATTTCACTCTTGAATTTTGAATCCAGACTTGCTCCTCAATCCTGTATAACTTCCACAATTCTGATCTTAAAGACCGCAATTCTTCAACACTGTCTGTACCCCTTACTACTTGCTGTGACTGAGAATTCTGCTCTAATTGGTGAATCTTCCCTTCTAAAGCAGAAATGGTTGAAGCTGGAAGCTGATCTCTCCTTCCAGACCAACTTTTAATAGCTGATTTTGAACTTCTAATGATGCTCAGAATACCTGCTTTTCTATCAACTTTCTTACAATCTTTAATAGCTGTAACAACCTGCTCATCAAACCCATCCTCATTCATCAAATAGTTGAACAACCTGAAAGGTTTTTTACCCCAATTATCACCCCGTCTGAAGCAATATTGCATTATGGTTAGAAATAGATCTCGGAAGTAGGAGTTGGGTGATATCCGAGAATGCAGATGAAAAATTAATACTCAGCAGAAACCTATCCAATCTGACAACAGTAGGATCTTCCCAATTGTTACCCCAAGTAAATCTTCCCCCCGTCAATGGAAAATCAATTAAGCCCGAATGATGAACAAATTGCCTAAAAATATCCATCGAATTTTTGTTTTGTGCTCTTCCATCCTTCTCATCTTCTGTTAAATAAGCATTAAAATTCCCTCCTACACAAAAAGGAATACTAATACCATTCAAAAACAAGCTAAACTCTTCAAAAAATATGCTTTTTCTTCCTCCACCGAAGGTCCGTATACATTAATAAACCCGCACTGAAATTGATTCATTTTGAGCTTCCCTAAAATAGCAATAAATCTCCTATGAATCTGCCTATCTTCTACCTCAAAAACATTGTCATCCCAACAACTAAGTAATTCCCCTAAAGAACCTTCTGCTGGCGATTCAACATACCCTTGAAGATTGTTCAGTCCACTTCTTCTCAAAAAAGACCTTGGACATGCCTCCAATTTTGTTTCTTGCAAAAAGAGAAAGGATGGTTTCTTCTCGGAAACTATCTTTTGAACAGCTCGCTGCTTTTCTTTTTCCCCAAACCCCTGACATTCCATGACAATATTACTATCTTTGTTTCCATGGTAGTATGCTAATACCAATCTCCTCCCCAGCTTGACAACCTACTCAACTGACCCCACTCAAACCTTCCTCTAATTCATGATTTTATCCAAGAAAGCTTCCTTCCCTTCCTTAAATGATATACCCAACATCTTGCTAATTTCCCAAGTTGCACGAGCTTCTTTTAAAATCGAAGTAAAAGCAGTAGATGAAACAGTGGAGACACTAACCTTTTCTAAGGCATCCTTAATAAAAAATCTTTGAATTCTCCTTTTAGATCTTGAAATCCCCACATCTTCACAATTCTCTTCTGAGTTTTGATCATCCTCTGGAAATTCACAACAACAACAACAACAAAACCCTGATTCCCATATGCAATGGGGTAAGGGGGAGGTAGTGTAGTAGGCTGATCCCAACGCCAGGTTGAGAGCAGCTTCCATGGAAGACCTCCGGCAGTCAAAAAATTAAAAATAAAGATAAGACGCAAATGCGTGTATAAATAAATACATAGATGAACAGACTTCATATGCAGTCTTGATATGTGCGTCTGTAATAGGGAATAATCTCTGTAAATAATTCCCTGCAAATAATTCCCTAAATAGAAATCTCTGCATATAGACTAAAAATGTAAGACCTAGCTAAATTTAAAAAGAGGAAACATGAATAGAAATGATACACAGAAGTCAATAATAGCAAGCTACAAGGAGGAATAACTTCAAATGAGTTAATTCTTAAACTAAGGCAACACTACTCCGATACCCTAGTTCTAAGCCTTCATACATTTCATGTATAAAGTAGGAGTCATGGAAAGTACTACAAAGACATTAAAAAGAAGACAGAAATGTTACACCCTATGGTTGTGAACCGCACTACTCAACTACCCTGGTCTTAAGTCTCCATACTTTCCTATCAGAGGCCATGTCCTCGGTAAGGGCTAATTCCTTCAAATCAGATCTCAAGCAGTCTTCCCACTTACGTCTTGGTCATCCTCTCCTTCTGACACCGTCGACTGTAATCGACTCTACCCTCCTGACCGCATCCGTCGGTTGTCGCCTAAGGACATGCCCAAACCACCATAGTCTTTCCTCCCTCAATTTTTCGGATACAGGCACCACCCCCAAGTACATCCTAATAGCAGAGTTAGGTGTCATGTCCCAAAGAGTCCTACCATATGTCCATCGAAGCATTCTCATTTCTGCGGCCTCCATCTTCCTTACGTGATCCTTCTTGATTGCCCAACATTCTGATCCATACAGCAGCGCTGGTCTTATTGCCATTCTATAAAAATTTCCCTTTAGTTTTAGAGGCACCTTCTTGTCACACAAAACTCCAGTAGCAGCCCTCCACTTTAGCCATCCCGCCTTTATACGGTGTGTAACATCTTCTTCTACACCCCCATCTTTATGTATCATAGAACCTAAGTACTTGAAACAATCATTTGAGGGGACAATGTGTCCTTCTATACATACTTCTACATCTTCAACGTTTTGGTTGCAACTGAAGTTTGAACATACATAATTTGTCTTTTCAATATTGATCCTTAGACCTTTTTCTTCCAAAGCAGTCTTCCAGGTAGCAAGTCTACTATTCAGCTCAGTTTTTGTTTCAGCAATTAGGACAATGTCGTCAGCGAAAAGCATACACCATGGAACACCGTCTGGTGTCGCACAATAGATGTCGTCCATAATCAAGGCGAAGATGTAAGGGCTAAGATTGTGCATATCTTAAAATAACAGCATTTTCATTCTGTTTGATTGAACCACCCTCTGTTTGAGATAAGAATCCTGCTCACTACTTCGCCAATGTTCCTCACCCGAGATCTTTTATAAACTCTCTTATAACTTCTTATCATTCTTCTTCCCACCGGAGCACTTTTCATAGAATATCTTTGCTGGACGATTCTGAAAAACACCCCCCACAGTTAACAAATTATTACCTTCTGCAGACCTCACATTAGCTGAATTCAATGATGTAAAATTAGAACCACCCTCCACTATTATTTTACTAGATTGAATCCCCTTATTTACTGCTTCCTTCGGACTGCTTGGATGAATGAAACACTGATTATTTAATGGAAACTGAAGTCCAGATATGAGAACTGCTGGACCCTTAGGAATTAACTTCTTTATTGGGGAAATGGGCTGACTACTATCATCTGTTTGGGCCTGAGAATTACCATTTGAATTATTCAAATTCCTTAAACCCAAACCTGCAAACTCTCCCTTTTAAAACTCCCATACTGTGCAAATCTGACATCCCTTCATTAATTCTTATCCCATCCCTGCTTCTTCTAGGAAACTGATCCTCTGTCAAATTCAACAAAAGCGGAAGTAGTTCCCTGCTCCATCCAGCTATCAACTCTCTTACGTGCTTCCTCAACCAACCGAACAATACCTGTCTTATCAGTTGACTTTAAGTTGTCAACTTTCATCTCCGACGACTCTGATGCAGTTTCACCTTCATCGGAAAAATTTTCCGGCATGGAACTGGAGAAAAAACTAGAATAGATAGAGGTCGAACCCAGCTTAATTTTCACCTTGTAGGATCTTCCATACGAACCTAAATTGATAACTTCCGAAACATCAAAAGGGCTTGCCACCCTAATCAGAATTCTCACAGTCGAGAGATCCTCCATGTTTTTTTTCGAGTTCTGAATACCATCTACGATCCCCCACCTCCCCGCTAACTTTTCTAAAAAATCTTCTTGCCAACATAGTAATGGAACACCATAGAGCTCCACCAAACAAAAAGCCATTGGCACACCTCCTTCATTCAACAGAAGTTCCAGTCTATCAAACCAGAAGCATAACAACTCACTCCTTTTCATCCAAGCCTCCTTCATCTCCTCGTCTGACTTAAATATAATGACACAAGATTTCCAAATGTGACCCCAGCTTGCAATCTGGACTTCAAAACCTTCTTTGGCTAAAGCGCTTTGCACCAACTCCAGATCAAACTTTTGTTTAACAATGCCCGTGAATGATCTTTTTACCCAGGATGATTGATCAGAAGGAATATGCATCTCCCAAATATTCTTCTTTCCTTTCCCCCTATCTGAAGCATCATTTTTATTCTCTAAATCTTTCAAAGCTCTTCTCTGCGGGATGTTCACCAATAAAGCATCCTTATAAGACCTATCATCCCTTATGCTTCTTGTGTGCTGAGCTCTTTCAGTAAAATTGGTATTTCCTTATGTTATCTTCTTTGAAACACCATCTAGAACCTTATCTAACCCTCCATACCTTGAACGATCTTTCTTATATTTTGCAACTCCAACAAATATTTTTCTCCCATCTAACCATATCCCATTTAAATTTTCAATTGCATTCCACATTCCTACTTCATTACCAAACTGAACAAAAGGCAAACAAGTAGGATTTATACTTTGGTTTGTTCGTCTCATTTGGAATAAAAACTCTAACCACATGACCTTGAGAAAGAAATAAATCTCTTAACTCTCTTCTAGAGACTCTCTTGCTAAGATTATCAACGAAAACCGTCCAACTCTCACCGGTAGAGGATTGACCTTTCTCTCTTTCTCTCCCTACTTGACTGACTCTCTCTCATATTTTTTTAAGTTCCATTCCATGCCGTGTGATTTTATAAAGACATGCTAAGTAGATAATGCACTGGACGAAGTGCCATAGAGTTTTACAATCTAGAGCCATAATGTTTTCCATTATCATGAAAACAGTAGAAAATCTTAAAAAAGGAATTGGTCCCCAAGAGTGGTTCAAGGGTCAAATAGTTCAGCTAATTTAGTTCAGTCCTCTTGATTTTGCTAAATACCAACATAGGCACCTGTTATCATTGTAATTGTATTGAATATTTAAAGGACTGAGAACATCATAAACAATAAATAAAGACCATGTAAACCATTTCTCCCAACTTTCTTGTTTTTAATCACTTGGGATTATGAAGCAAGCAGCCAGATAGGTCCTAGTTCCAAGTTCAATCTAGCCAGTCTGACTAGTCTCTAAAACACTGGCATTGTAATTGTCAAATACCGAGACTTAACATTATTTATGTAATGTGTCTGACATTACAAAATTTTAAACATATTCCCTTTAACAGCTGCAGGCATTGTCACTATAAAGCTAGATTATCAACCTAAATAGATAGCAACCAAAAAATATTTTGATAATTAGCTGTCAATATAAAATACTAGTTTGCTTGATACTTGTTAAAAAAATGCTATCAACTTGTTAACAATTCTTGCATGCAATGACTCTCACACCTTTAATTATCATAGAGAAACATGTAAAACGTGGAAATTTAGATTAAAAACAGGAAGGATCAATGGAAAAGAACTAAGCCTCAGAAGCTCCAGGAAAATCATTTAGAAACAAGTGCGCAATGATTCTGAGAAGTACCAAATGTCTTCTGTAAGCCATCTCGATTAATTGGTCCATTGCAACATGCTCAATGTCCCTGCAAAGAAAACCACATTACTCTAGTTGAAGCACAATTCATTAGGTTATCAATATTCAATAACAAGATCAACAGTTTATCCCACCTTTCTACATCTCTCCCATTCTCAACAGCTTTATCAATCTTCCCCAACCTTTTCTTCTTCTGCTGAATCTAAGAATCAATAAATAAAAAAAAAGTGTTCAAATATGCAAAAAGAATCAATGTAAAAACAGAAGTCAACTAAATAAAAATTTACTATGCTATGGACCGACGAGGTACTTATGTACAGCGACGGGTATGAAGGGGGTTTTTAATGAGGCCTATTTTTTTATCAAAAAAAAAAATTTACTATGCTATAAGCGCATAAAGAAATAGATCTGGAAAGTAAATAGCACCAGTATAATGCCAAATATGCTTAAATAATCCAAATTGGAGACATTTGCGAAAACAGGTAACAGTTTCAAACAGCAACCTGTTGATAGAGACATTCATTAAGTTCAACAACATTTTGGTTTATCGCTTCCTCCCCCTCTGACAAATCAGGCTGCAAAAAGGCAAAAGCAAATAAAGTAAACAATAGTACTTATATAAGGTAGCAGGAAAAAATATTTGTCATCCAACATACGGGGGGCTTGGGTGTATTCCTGGAACTGAAAGAAGGAAAGTTATTTAAATCAATCAATCAATCTTACCATGACAGAAAAACTTACCAAGGACTCGAGATAAATGCCAATACTATTTAACTCCAGCAAAAGCTTGTCCTCCATACACCTCAACTGATATTGACAGTCAAAAGAACCCTCAGAAACATTTATTTCCTTCTGTTGGAGCTGACCCAGGTCAGTTGAACATATTTCACTCACGGGACCTGAATCCATATGTGATAAATCATCATCTCCCAACCACCGTTCGCTGCTATGTAATGAATTAGACATGCTGCAGTTCCTAAAAGTGTTTGATGCAACACTCACATCACCAGACATCCTGTCTAACAGAGAATTTTTCTGACAATGAAAATCTGTGATTGACTCAGCTTCAGTTTCTATTCTGTCTCTATCTCTAAATTCAACATCCATCTGGTTGCAAGAACCACAATGGGAATCGTCGCTTGCATAGTGAAGAGACATGTTCTTCGCTTCATTGCGGTGGTAAACTTCTTCATTTTCATCTTCTTCGATCAAAGCAGAAAGAACTCTTTGATATAAAGGAGTAACCTTGTCAAACTTCTTTATATCAGATCTTTCACTTGCAGCAATAGTTTTGGCCACTTCTTCAACAGAAAAAGGTGCATCTTTCTGCAGTGCAACACCCTGAGGAATGGCAGGAGTTCATATCAACATTTGCCAACAAAGTCTGACTTAATTTCCAGTTATCCTTCCTTCTCTTCTTAGATCTCTTAAGATTAACATGCTTGTATTTATAACTGATTAAATAGACCTAGTATTAGGGAAAGAGACATAAGATGATGGAAATTTACCTGAACATTAAATCCATCTCCAAAAATTTGAGACAAACTCTCGTCAAGTTCTTCTGCCAAACTTAGCTGATGCAACATCAAAATAGCATTTAGGAAATTCTGATGAACTAACCCCAAAGTATCAATGCATCATAAATATGTTTGGCCATATGGTACCTGTTGCCTGAGGTAAGACGTGTCCTCTGAGCTCACTGAATTAAAAATAGATCCCATTTTCTTCCAGAAAGGACCACAACAAGCAAGACCTACAGAAACAAGAAATATATGTCTGAATAAAAGCTCAATTCACATAAGGCATTTGATTTGATTTATTATTTATTTTTATTTGTGGGTAGGGGGTATGCATACCGCTAGCATTCCGAGCCGAAGTGGCAGCTGCAAATAGTTCATCACGATCATCATCATCAGATTCGCCTGCAAATGGCATCCCAAATACACCGTCATCAAGTGTATACACCAGAAAGTTTCAGAGATTTTCAACGACATTTCAGCAAGTTTGGAAGTTCACAAAAGATGCACATACATATGCATGTAGATAAGTGTCGTAGTACAATTCCTTCCAAAATCTGAAAATTAAACAACAAAACATCTTGACGAAAATAAAAATTAAATCCTTGCAAGAACACACACATAACTTGTTGATAGCTAAACACACAGTAAATCTAAGAGCCAAATATATGTCAAAATGGTAATGTCAGGTAGCAGAAATGTGGTATCAAAGTCATCATTGATGCACAGCTTTAAGATTGGTAACAACCATGCAAAATGATGTGTAGATATACCATCACAGAGAAATCATAATGCTGCAACAGACTCCATATTTTTGACAAATATGCAGCTAATTATCATCAACCTAATAAGCAATCAAATACCTGTGAAATCAGGAGAAACATTATTCACCATTGACCCAACACGAGTTGAGGCCTTGCGATCTTTTAGCTTTTTGGAAGGTGGGCAAACTATTTTACTGAACAAAAAATTCATGATTCATTCATCAGATTCCACAAGACAAATGAACAACATAATATTAAGAACCAGATAAGAACCTTCTATTTTTATCAGAAGCAGATCTTGCACTTTGAATTAGCTTCGTTGTTGTAAGATTGTCCGATTTTTCCCTCATTGGATGCACACCTGGTTTTGTTAAGGGTGTAGCACTGCTACCATTCCTTCCTTGCCTTCGGACTCCATCTCCAATTTCATTTGTATTTTTATTCTTCCTTGTGGGCAGTAAGAAGGTCCCAGCTTTATGAGATGCAGGAAGAGTAACCTCACAAGTATCAATTCCTTTATCTTTTGATTTGTTATCTCCAGCCCCAGATTCTTCACTCTCAGATAACCCAAATGGAGAAGAGACATTCTCAAGTTCCTGTTCAATGTTCGGAGTAACATTATCTACACTGCTGCCAAGAAGCGATCCACCAGTTCCAATAGATACCCTAGCACCAAAATTAGGAATTGCAACGCCTTGAGATGAACTTGAGCTTCAGCATCAGCCACAGGGGACACTAGATTTGCTCTCCTTGTTCGTGTGATTTTATGTGGTCTCTGACCACCCCACTGGGATATAGCATGTGATGATGAACCTGTAGACATTGAACATTTTTTATTGTTCATAACACCTAAAGCTTGGATTTTATTTGGATTTGGCTGATCTGAACCCTGCAAAGCTCCAGATGAGAGGTGAACTTTAGAAGAGGAGTCTAACACCATGATGGACCCAGTTCTTGGTGCCCTTGAAAACTTCCCTTTTAGAATTGTACTTGAGCCACTTGCTTGATTGTCCTCATGATGACTTGCCCTGACAAACAGTTCCATAAAAAATATCAATAATAAATGAGAAGGAAACATTAATAGAAAATCATACATGGCAGAAATTAAATGCAAATTTTGATGTACACCAATTACGCAAGGTTCCTGCCCATTCACAGATTGCAAGAACTAAAAAGGTAAAGGGACATACTTATTATTTGTTTTCACTACAACCCTCTGCTCCGACATAGCTGCACGATCCCGTAGAATAGATGTACTCTCCAATTCATTCCTGACTACTTTATTCGCCTCTGAACCAGCAGCTTCAAATGAACCGCGAGACTTATTGATTCCACCAACCCCGGGGGAAGGTTTCGTTCTGCATGCATAAAACAATGAACAAGAGCAGTTTTAAGAATCGTGCATAACATATTTGAAAATGACTGAAAATGTCTAGAATCAGCGTAAACTGTATCTTATAAAGTCAAAATTTGATAATCATTTCCAGAAACAAGAAATGTCATCATTTTGATTAATGCCAATATCAAGCATTTAAAAATGCCATGCCAGCAAGAAAGCAGTCACAATCATATATTCTATATTAGAACTAACAGCAGATAAAATAGAAACACCAAGGTTAATTACAATTGACAACCCAAAAAACATGTGAGCACGGAGATCTGTCAATCCAAATATAATATGAGCTCTTAAGCATGAAATTTCATGATTGACTCTCACAATGCTACACACTATAGCAATTTTATCTAAAAGCCTCCATCATTCTTTCTTATACAAAACAAAATTCACAAAGTTCCGCATGTTATGAATAATAATGACTGCAACCATAAAATCTACAAGCATTAAATAGAAAAACAGAATGTTTCTTTGACAATTACTCTAAGTCTATAACACCGCCAGTTTGTAGGCCTGTAAACGAACCGAACGCACACGAACAGAGGTATGTTCATGTTCGTTTATTTAAAAAATAAATGAACATAAACGAACACGAACATAAACGAACAAATTTTTTTTTGTTCATGTTCGTTTATTAAGGAATATAACTTGTTCATGTTCGTTCATTTAATAAATAAACGAACATAAACGCGCACGAACACGAACATAAATGAACACGAACATAAACGTTGGAGACCCTACCTAGGGGTGTAAACGAGTCAAGTCGAGCTCGAGTATTGCTGAGCTCGACTCGAACTCGAAAACTTTCAAAGTCAGCTCGGCTCGACTCGAAAACTCGCGAGCCTAAAATTATCAAGCTCGACTCGAACTCGAAATATAATATTGAAACTCGACTCGAACTCGAAAAGGCTCTAACTCAAAAAACAATTAAGAGCTCGATTAAAACTCGAGACTTGAGCTCGATTCAAGCTCGATTCAAGCTCGACATTGCCCCAAGTGCAAAGATGCTTAAACCTATTCTCCCCCATCTTTTATATAAGTTACCAACCCCGAGCTGCTTATTTGCTACTGATGTGGGATTGCATAATGTTCCTCCACTTTCTTTCTTCCTATCTCATTTAACAACAGTCGAGATGAACACAGATTGTGTTTTATGTGATTGCCGACCTTAATCCTTGGGGATCAAATAAACATGTCCTTAGCTTCGTGCTATGTAGAAGTTGAAAATTGGGAAATGAGAGAAGTAGGTTGGCTAAACTTCATATCCGGATGGGCACAAAATTTGTTTGATGAAACGCGTTAAAGAACTTCTCAACCTATGGAATAAGGCCTTACCATTATTGGGTTCTTGAGTTCAAAGTAAGCTGACTTGAGTTACTGGTTGATAACTATTTACTTGTAAATTCGAATACTCCATTATAAATGAAAGAAAAGAAGATTATTTGAGTAGAAGAAACGGTACTTAATACTTAACATCCTTTCCAGAATCCATCACCTTTGGACTTGGTTTCAAAAGCAACCGGTTTCTGAGACTCCTCTTTGCTCATTAGATAACCAGCTGGTGGTGCAGTCACATAGGATTTCGGCATAGTGGATGTTGACGGTGCTGGGTATGCAGCTTATGGATCGTTCAAAATGAACTAAACCATGTTAATATTGTTGGGTTTTCCAAATAAAATTGGGTTAATTATAGAGTTGGTCATCAGAATATCAAATTAATTAATATTTTTAAGATACTTAAAAATTGATCACCAAAATTGATTTAAGAAGATTGGATTAAACATAAATGAATAAACATAAACGAACATAACCGAACATAACCGAACGAACATAAACAAACATAACAGAACGAACATAACCGAACGTTCACGAACATAAATGAACGAACGAGACTTATGTTCATGTTCGTTCATTTAATTAAACGAACACAAAATCTTGTTCATGTTCGTTCATTTAATTAAACGAACACAAAATCTTGTTCATGTTCGTTCATTTAATAAATAAACGCACATAAACGAACTTCCCGCCGCACGGTTCATGAACGGTTCGCTGAACGTTCAGTTCATTTACAGGCCTACCAGTTTGATCATAACAATTAAAGCACATCCGAGACGATCACAGAACCCAGTTTTTCTCATCAGCGATGTATCCACAATTAAATCAGCAACTAGGAAGTAAGAAAGATCCTATACAATCACCTGAAACCCAGCGTATCACATAATTGCAACTTTGATTCAGAACTCAGCTTTGGTTGCATAGATCGTTTTATATCTCGACCAGCGTTGGCAGCTCTATTTCCTACAGCTGCAACAGACCGTTTCCTTTTCATCTTTGTCTCCCATCCTTCACCTGGCAATCTGCGGATCTTTTCTTTAATTTGAGCAGAACCCCCATTAACAGCTGAAAGCACATCAGTATCCTTTTCTACTACCCCCTGCTGCCTTGGATTCACAGTAGTCCTGTTATAGCCTGGTCTCACGAAAAGAGTAAAGAGAAAACAAGGGAAATAAAATTAATGAAGCATAAGCTAAAAATTAAGAGAAAAAAAGGATCTAGTCAAACTACTGTTATGTTTCTGGACTATTTTTCTCTCATTTAAAAATTAAATGGCACATTCAATTATGGTTACTACCAATATAAAACGAAAGACAACAGGAAACTTTATTCAGTGCGGAAGAAATATCAACTGATTTTTCTTTGTTCAAGAATGTATGACAAGACTAAATAGGTTGAATCCTAATATGTTCCAACAATCATAGAGAAATACCCGTAAATCGGAAAATGATGTGCGTACACGCTTGTTGAGCCCAACACACTTTGTCTTATCCTCTGATCTTTGGTTCATTATTTCGTTAGTGTTTCTATGAATCTGGCTTCCCATCTTTGCAATGCCTAATCCACTACTTCTCTCATTCAAAATATCACTTCGTTGCTGCTTCTTTGTGCCTAAGGCTTCTCTATACCTTTCCAATTTAGAAATTGAATCGCGAAACTTTTTCACCCTAACACTGACATAAAGATGATGTATATTCAATAACCAAACTGTCAAGTGTCTGCACAACCTAGGAGTATCAGGAATCATGACAATGATAAAATATGCACAAGTACAAGCTCAGAAAGATGAACTGCAAGAAGAAGCACTAGAATTAATTGCAAGTTCATATCGTCCACCTGAGACAAATACTCAAGCAGCAAGGAAGTTTGAAGATGGGATATCTACATTGCACACAGAAAGAATACATTGCATATACACCATTTTATATGAGCATTGCATGCATCATAACATTTATGTACCATGTTGCTGTTACTTGCCCATTCTGTTTCCATTGAAAGTACCTACCTTTAAAGGTTCCCTTATCACCACAATTACAACAAGAAGTTACTACGCTAACTCATGAAGAAAACCATGCTCTGTAAAACATAAACTATTCAAAAAAAAATTAGCTGGATGATCGTAATAACAGAAAAAGGGACTATACCTGGCTTTTCTTTTGGCATCTTGAACACTTTCCTTAAAGTTCTTAAGCTCCTCTATTGCCACGGGAGGGGAAAGTTTGGAGTGTGAAACTCCAAAAGAGTGATCCTCTGATGTACTACTTCGAAGAGGAACACCCAGAGCCCGGCTTAGCTCTCGGACCGTGTATATTTATGACTCCCCAATGTAATTGGCTCCAAGGCAAACACTGAGGCAATGGTGGCATATCTAAGGGAAGTCCTGCATTCCCTCGGCTTAAACTATTCGCAGAACCAAACATTTCTTCCTCTATGTCAATCTCCTGAATTTGAACTTCCAAATCTGGACACATGAAGCCAAGACTCTTACCCAAAAAATCCAAATAACTCAATCTCCCGAGCTTTGCTTTTGAATTTGAACGAATGAAAATTAAAAGTAGGATAACTTTAATACAGAACAACTAAATCAAACGTAGTGTTGCACTTTACTTACTTCGATCATTCTTAATTCAATTATAAATTTCTTTTTAATTTTTTACCATTTGATTTAGCTTTTTGGCATTCTTTTTAAGAAGCAAAAGCATCAAGCAAACAGAGCCTCAGCAAATTCTATCAACTATCGTTTTAAAACATATAAGTTATAACTGAACTCAATTCCACATATGCAAAAACATACTTAAAAACAGAAATATTTGGCAAATATGTCAAGCAATAACAATTTCTTTCTGTGCCCCCTTTTTTGCCACTTTTTTTCAACTACTAAAACAATAAACTTTGTTTATTTTACGTAATATAAAAAAAACCTTTCAAATTCAAATAATAAGAACAAAGGAACAGCAATGACAATCAAAACTACAATAACAATTGAACCGAAATTACAAATAAAAGAGAGAAAAATCCAACCGGAAGTTAAATTGAGTTCTCTTTCCTTCACTCTCTCAACTTCCAACTAGGCAAAGTGAGATTTAACAAATAAAAGGAAAAAAGAAACTGAAAATTTTAGAAACTAACATGACAACCCTAACATGAGAGAGGACCTGGAAGAAAGAACTATTGAAATTGAATTGAAATTACGGGAAAAGAATATGAAATTAGAGCGTCTAAAGATCCAATTACCTGAGAATCAACGCACTGAATCGAATATCAAAATCAGGGAGAATTTTAGGGCGAAACGGGAAAAAAGAAAAGAAAAGCGGGAATGGTTATTATGTAATAGTAATGTGTATATATAATAAAAATATATAAAATTCCTTTTAGTCGTATAATAAATAGTTTAATACGTCGTCGTCAATTGCCAAATAATTGAGAAAATTACACTTGCACCTTTCTAAGTTTATAAAATTTACAATTTCAACCTTAATTCATTTTCTTTCTCGTTTGAAAAAATAATTTCGTTTGATAAATCAAAATTAAAAAAATGATTTTATTAATTTTAAATTTTAAATTGAGATCTCATTTTAAATAAATTTCAATTATTTGATTTTCCTGTTATTTTTTGCATGTAAGATTTTAAATAAACATAGAATATTGCTACTTATTATTCTTTTACCATAATTAATTTAAGTACTTATTATTACACACGCTCGTATATTCGCATGATCCCTTCAAAGAGAAAAAAGAAACTAAAATATGGGTTTTTTAATTTGGAAATATTCCTAATTATTTAGATGTACGCTACGTTTGTAAGCCAAAGTAAACTAAGCTAAGCATACTATAATTCTCTATTTCTCTATTTTCTCATCACTTTCATCATCCCAAGCTCACTGCCCTCCTTAATGTCCTCATCTTATCTGCAGCAACCTTCCTTTGCGCTGGTAATTTTGACTGTTTTCTTTTCAGAACCTGTTCATGAGTTCACCGCATATGAAAACAAGAAAGAAATTAAATTTATGATGATTTTCTTAGAAAATAAGTATGTCAAATGCATGGCAACAATCAGAGATTTAAATTGTAGTTGTGTTTTTATCATAATTGCAGACATAACGGATGTTATTACGGTCATTGTAGGAAGTTATTACGATCATTGTAGGTATCACAGTTGTGCAATAACAATTTCGGACATCATTGTTACAGTTATTCCTGATAGTGGACCACTCTTTAAATCCCTGGCAGCAACAACTCACCTCTTGCTTTCGCCTTTGCTCATTTTCTTCTGCTCAAAGTTAAAAACCTAGAAACAGTTTAGGAATTTAAGCTTTTTCGGGAGGAAGTATTTGGCTTAAGCTTTTCATTCTCCTGTTTGAGTTGATTCAACTCTAACTCCAGCTCCACTGTATACGCCTGCAATTCAAGAAAGTAGAGTCTAAATTTAATGGATAGTACTGAACAAGCAAACCACATCAACCGAAAATACTTAAGCATGCACCTGTTTCCTTGCTCGAGATCTTGTTGCGGATTCTCGATTCTTAATCATTCGACGTTGTTGCCTTTCCATTACCACCTCCGTGAACCATCTATGATCTCTTCTTGTTCTATATCATGACAGGCTCTAACATGCGGTTGGTGCCCTTCCCATTTTCAGCTACATTAGAAGATTCACACATAACAGCTTTACTCTACGTGAAAACGGGTATGTGGTTGCATAACCATTGTCTGGTGCTGCCTGTAAAGATTAGCAACACATATCTAAACTATGAAAGCAAGAACAAGAAACAAAACTAAAGAGAGAAACCTTCTGAACTCATTATTTTCAAGAGTGTGTGTTTACAAGTCTCAAGGAGTGCAGTTATAGTTAGTATTGTAGCTGTAACTAATGATGTAACTAACTTCAACAAACTAATTGCTCAAACTGATTAGCTGCAGTGTATCAATCCTCAACTGTATGCACGACCATTATGCACAGTAGTAGTACGTGTGCTTATATACCATGCATTTATTTATACTAACATTCCCCTTGCAACCTTCAACTTCAAACCTTCTTCAAACTCAAAATTACACAATCATGATCAACGCTTCCTTCAAAACTCAAAACGCACGAAATGTTCATTTGCACTAACATTCCCCTTGCAACATTCAACTTCAAATCTCCTTCAAAACTCAGACTGATATGCTTTTAAGTTGCATCACCAGTAACCGTTGTCTATGTTTGAAAAACAAAGGTGCTGATAAAGGCTTGGTCAACACATCAACAACCTGCTCGACTGCAGGAACTTCATGCACTTGTAACTGTCCCATAGCCACCATTTCTAGAACAAAAAACAGATAAACTCAACATGTTTAAACTTGGAATGAAGTACAGGATTATCACATACTGCGACTGTACTTGTATTATCACACCACAATGTGGCCTTGCCATGAGTAACTATATGCAACTCTCCCAACAATGACCGAAGCCACACCATTTCAGCAGTTGCACAAGCCACACTCTATACTCAGCCTCAGCAGTTGAACGTGCAACAACCTGCTTCTAGAGCTCCACGAGACCAAGTTCCCAATATATATACAGAATCATGAAGTTGACCGTCTATCATCAATATCTAAACCCCAATCCGCATCTACAAAGCCAGTCAAAGCCATTCTCGAGGAGGGTGTAAACCGTAGTCCAAAGTCAACGGTGCCTTGTAGTTAAGATTATTCACTTGACTGCCTGAAAATGAACATCCAGTGGGGCTTGCATGAACTGACACACTTTATTCAAAGCAAACGCCACATCAGGCCGAGTAATTATAATGTACTGCAGAGCACCTACTATGCTTTTGTATTGTGCAACATCTTCAAGTGGTTTTCCCTCCTTAGCAAATAGCTTGACATTTGAGACCATGGGAGTGGGAAGGCTCTTTACTCCACCAAAACCATGCTTTTGTAAAAGGTCATGAATGTACTTTTGTTGACTCAAAACAACATTGAAACCTTCATAACTGACTTCCACTCCTAGGAAAAACTCAATGGTCCAAGATCCTTCAATGAAAACTGAGCATTCAGTTTGTCTATAACACTTTGAACAACCACATCTTTATCCCCTGTTAAGATGATATCATCAACGTACACCAGTAAGTACACCAAGCTATCCGAGGTCTTTCGAATAAAAGAGGCATCCGACTTAGCCTAAGCAAAAACCTTTAGATTCTAGGTATGCCTTCAGTCGTTCAACCAGGCCCTCGTGCTTGTTTCAGCCCATAATCGCCTTGTGTAACTTGCATACCCAGCACCATTTCCTTGCTCATACCCTGGTGGTTGAGTCATATAAACGTCTTAAGTAAGTAACCCGTTCAAAAAAGCATTATTGACATCAACTTGTCTCAGCTTCCACCCATCGTGATAACACCAAGGAAATGATTACCCTGATCGTTGCAGGCTTAACCACCGGGCTGAAGACTTCATCAAAGTCAATTCCTGGTTTTGAAGAAAACCTTTTGCCACCAAGCGTGCTTTGTACCTTGAAATTGAACCATTAACACTTTATACGAAATATCCATTTACAGTTTACTGCCTTCCTATCTCTAGGAAGAGGAACTAGTGTCCACGTGCCATTCCTTACCAGGGCGTCATACTCGACTTGTGCAACTTCTTTCCAATGAGGACTCATCAAGGCCTTTGTGATATTTGTTAGTTCTCGATCTGAACTTGCAACGTTATAAACTTTCGACTTCCAGATTCCATGCTTACTCCTGGTCATCATGGCATGAACATTGGAGACTGCTTGTGGTACATCACTCTCCATATCATTATTATTGCCAGCATCGTGATTCCCTTCTTGGACCCCATGTGAGCTCCTACCGTAACTACTCCCATGATGGCTATCATCGTGACTTTCTCCTTGGACTTCATTTGAATTGCCAACACAACCACTCCCATTATTTAAATTTGTCGCACCTTCATAGTTTCCTTGAACCCCATGTGAGTTACCAACACAACCACTTTCATTATTTATATTAGCAGCACCACTACTCCTATTATATATAATTGACGCACCATGACAATTACCTTGGACCCCACGTGAGTTGCCAACACAACCACTTCCATTGTTTAAATTAGGCGCACCTTCATAATTTTCTTATTCTTGGACCCCACGTGAGCTTTCATCACAACTTCTCCCATGATTGCTCCCATCGTGATTCCCATGTGTGTTTGTTGAAGTAGCAACGTGGGTGGGCACCACGCCAAGAGGCACATGCGCATTGGACCCATGCGTATTGGATCCATGCGCACTATTATGGTAGCCAACGATATTATGGCTTGGTGTGGCCCCATGAGCATTACCACGTGCATCTACCATTTCAAAAGACATGCCCCCAATGATATTATGGCTTGGATTATGCGTACCTACCCCAATATTATTATGATTGCCAAGCGGTGTGGCTCCATGTTCATTATAAACTACAGGCAACTGTCCATTCGTGATAATTTCTTGTCTATGGCACTTGCATACTAGTTGATTCTTATCAAAGGGAAATACTTGCTCATTAAACCTTACATGTCGAGACACAAAGACTCTACGATCATTGTATAAACATTTGTACCCATGATGTGAGGTGTTGGGCCCAAGAACCACACACTGCCTTGACTGAAAATCCAATTTATGTTGATTAAACGATCTCAAGAAAGGAAAGCAAGCACACCCAAACACTCTCATACCTGAGTAGTCAGGAGCTTTTTGATAGAGAACCTCAAACGGGGTCTTGCCTGAAAATATCTCAGATGGTAGCCTGTTTATGATGTACACTGCCATAGGAAAGACATGACTCCAGAACTTTGTTGGCAGTGATTCTTGAGCTAATATGGCTAGTTTCATCTCAACAATGTGACGATGTTTCCGCTCAGCCTTCCCATTCTGCTCTGACGTGCTGGGACAGGAGATTCGATGTTGTACACCATTGGTAAAAAATGAACTCTTCAGGGCTTGATATTCACCTCCACCATCGCTTTGTAATGCTTTGATTTTCTTCCCAAACTGAACCTCAGCTATTTTAACAAGGTTGAGAAAGCATTGGCTGACTTCAGACTTCTTTCTAATTATATAAAACCAGGTATGTCTGCTAAACACGCCAATAAATGAGACATAATATATGTAACCTTCAGTCGAAACTATAGGTGCATGTCCCCACACATCTGATACAACCAGTTGAATTTTTTTTTGTATTCAGTCAACGAATTACAAAAAGGCAGCTTGTGAGCCTTGCCTTGAAAACATACACAACAAACATTGTTCAACTTGTTTTCACTAGAAGAAACATTACACATTTTCATAACATCTTTGACAGTATTCACACACTAGTGTCCTAAACGCCTATGCCAAAGTTCCAAACTGCTTGAAGCCTTGGACACATTGTTCATCATGCAACTTGATTTCTTCTCTCCATACGGTAGCAGCTGGTATAAACCTTTACGTGTGAGATTCCCTTTCAATAGAACGGTCCGAGTCTGTACATCATTCACCAAGCATTTAAAAGGATGAAACTCAATAAATACATTGTTATCACGAGTGAATTGAGGTACTAACAGTAATTTCTTCTTAATGTGTGGGGCATGTAGCATATTTTGTAACACCATAGGTCTGAGACTAGAATACAAAAAGCCTTGACCAATATGATCAGTTTTAATCCCTTCACCATTTCCCATTAGAAGTGTGTTGTTACCTTTGTATGCCATACCTGAATGGAATGGTACAAGATCATTCAATACGTGAAGAGTGGCACCCTTGTCTGGATACCACAAAGCATTGGAGTGTTTTGGAACACTGTAAACTGCTGCCATACTAGGCACAGTGGATACAAAAGTTATAGGTGCAGTATGAACAACTGAATCTTGTCCTTCCATTGTTGTAGGATGAACTACACATTCCCCAGGAAAGGTATTCATTACCTGATTCGAGGAGTAAGGCAGTCCTTGACGAGTCAAAGTATAAGGCATACCATGCATAGAACTGGATGGATAGTGGTAGAAAAAAGGAGATTACATCGTGTAATTATATGCATGTCCATTCACAGGAACAACCTGTTCAGCTGGTTTCTTCCATTTCTCAACAGATTGATCTTCACTGACAACTCCAGTGAAATCTCGGTCAAAACGACGATAGCACCGCTGAACAATGTGCCCAAACTTTCCACACAACTGGAATTGTGGCCGATTTGAAATATTAAACCTTCATCGACCTCGACCAAGATAGCCTCCCTATTGACCTCTCATGGGATAAAATTGATTTTATGTTGCATCTGTTTCAGTGATAGCCTAAGACTTCGACCCATTCTATTCTTTTGGTTAGACAACCATATTTGCAGCAATACCATCGCTTAAAAAGGCTTTCTGCCTAGCCTCATAATCCAGGAGCATTTCAGTGAGACTATCCAATGATACTACATCATGAGATGCTATAGCAATGATGAACTCAAACTCCATTGACAATCCATCAATAATCACATTTACTTGGTTCTTGTTCAGATATAACACAGCCTGCCACATTCAACAAGTGACATATTGTCTTGATCTTGGCTAAATAATCACTTACAGTCAAACCAGATTTCCTTTGAGAGTGCAAACTGTGTCTAAAAGAAGAAATCTTGGCACTTGAACGAACTCCAAACAACCTTGTTACTGCATTCCAGATTGTGCGAGGGGAAGTGAGCCCCATAAGATGTGACAAAACCTCCATGCTAACTGTTGTCAACAACCATGAAGCAATCAACTTGTCTTGTTTCCTATGCACAACATATCTGGATTTTCCTCAAGCTGTCCTGACTCATTTGTGACAAACTGAGATGGAGCAGGATTATCACTAGAGATATAAGCCAACAATCCATAGCCATCAATTATAAGGGTCACCTGATGCTTCCAAAGAAGGTATGTTAACTCGGTAAGTTTTATGACATCCTGTTTAGGTATATGTTGTACACTAGATAGGACCGAAGAACCATATGACGACGAATTGACTGTGGTATTCACCGAAGACTGAACATCAACTTATTGCAGGTCCACCATTTTCAAAGTAAAACAATAACCTTCAAGAACCTCCAAGAAAAGAAGCAAACCAAAAACTGCATGATCGTTTTGGCGACTGATACCATGTATAGATTAGCAACATATATCTAAACTATAAAAGCAAGAACGAGAAACAAAACTAAAGAGAGAAATCTTCTGAACTTCATTATTTTCAAGAGTATGTGTTTACAAGTCTCAAGGAGTGTATTTATAGTTAGTATTGTAACTCTAACTAATGATGTAACTAACTTCAACAAACTAACTGCTCTAACTGATTAGCTGCAGTGTATCAATCCTCAGCTGTATGCATGACCATCACGCAGAGCAGTTGTACGTGTGCTTATATACCATGCATTTATTTATACTAACATTGCCATGTTGCTGGCAACAATTTGGTGGTCTGGGAATCTTGGCCCTATAACATATCTCATTCCAAAGTTTACATCTATGTTTCCATTGTTATTTTGAATAGATTTTAGCATCTTTGGTTGAGAAGATTCGATCCTTTGCCCTAGTCCATAGTTTGCATCTAAACCTATGCCATTGGTCTGTATAGGACATATAGGTGTCACATTCTTCTGTTGGGAAGAAACCGATGATGATTCTTGAATAACTCCAACTTTGACGACAAAATCCTCCAAAGTCATCTCTCTGAATGTTAGTTGGCGCTGCGAAAGTTCATGATCGGGGATATTAGCTTTCCGCTGTGGCGATAGGTCTTTCTGATTTATTTGAGATATTCATGGTTCGTGTTTGACCAGATATCTTAGAATGGTTTAGTCCCGAGTTGCTCCGATTTTTATGTTACAAGCGCCAAAAACTCGATCGACTGGTAATCTCGTCGGCTTGTGATTCCCACGCGTTGTTATCAGTAGCTCTTGAACTTTTAAAACATTTTGGGATTTGATCTTGGCCGTTGGATTGGTTACAGATCCAATGGCCCAGGATTGGTTGTGGTGTGATGATATTTTAGGGTTTAAAAACCCTAGCTCTCTTATGATTCTGGCCGTTGATCTCTATCTTGATCTAACGATCCTCATTTATGAGGCGCTGGACTTAATGATGAAACCTTAGTGTGGCTTGGGCTTGCTTCTTGGACCCTGTCCATTATACAATTATTTGGTAGATTGGTTTGCTATATCAGACAAACCTCTCTGTTGGGCCACCACTTGATTTGGACTTCCTTGAATCCCAATCTGATGCGTCAGGCAGGTTAGGTCTTGTCACCCATACTAGACTTTTGAACCTTAAATAAAGATGAAATAAAAAAAATGAAAATAGATAAGAAAAAGGAAAGTAAAATACTAATAATAATATGTATATTAAAAAACTATATAATATATATATTTCAAAAACAATATAATATGTTTTCAAAGATTATATATATTATATACGTTTTCAAGAATCGTTTTTTAAAAACTATATATTATATGTTTTCAAAAAACCATTTTTAAAAACTATATATTATATATTTCAAAAATATTTTCAAAAACTATATATATCTTCAAAAACAATATATATATAATATATATATATATAATATATATATATCTATATATATATATATATATATATATATATATATATATATTATCATATATACTAAATAAAGACCCTTTAAGTCCCGGATGAAAATGAGTGTCTACAGTTGCCCCTCTTTACCCATTATTGTATAACGAAAATAGGGCAAAGACAAGCTTGTTCCTATGAGTGTCGTCGATCTCTGAGTTTGAAATTTGACTAAATGTTGTAGTCGACTCTTTTTATCGAATATCCTTCGTTGCAGAGTTGAAATTCAACTTGAAAATAAAAGATGGGCTCCATGTTGTTCAGCTGAGTTACGGATAACTCATTCGTATTGAAGTTGAGATTTGACTAGACGACATTATCCCGTCGTTGAGTTAAACTATGTTGTGGAGACTCTTCGCTGTGAAGTTGAGTCGATCTCGAATGAATTAGGCACGATATCCTTCATTGTGAAGTTAAAATCATGTGTGACTCATTCGTCGTGAAATTGAGTCAATCTTGGATGTTTCGAGCATGATATCATTCGCTGTGAAGATGAAATCTAGTTCGAAATCTGAACTGGAACGTGGCTTCTTGTTACCAAATCATAGTCAACCTTGGTATTCTTCTTGGCTTAAAGACCTCGATTTAAAATTCAACCGAAAAATAGTTCATCACTGCTACCATATGGTTGATATGGCCTCAAGCTGAATGAAATAGAACTCAAAAGTTTTCGACTGAAGTTATGTTGTAAATTAGGCTGGAAGATAGTTCATTGTTGCTAAATCACAGCTAACCTAGGTCTTCTTCTTGGCTTAAAGACCTCGGTTTAAAATTCAATCAGAAAATAGTTCCTCGCTTCTACCATGCGATTGATAAGCCATCGAGTTGAATGGAATCGAACTCGAAAGTTTTCGTTGACTGATAGCCCTTCTTGCTTTGAGCTATGCTGTGAATTAGGCTGGGAGATAATTCCTTGTAGCTAAATCGTAACCAACCTAGGCCTTCTTCTTGGCTTAAAGACCTCGGTCTAAAATTTAGTTAGAAAGTAGTTCATCGTTGCTACCATGCAGTTGATACGCCCTCGAGCTGAATGGAATCAAACTCGAAAGTTTTCATTGACAAATAACCCTTCTTGCCTTGAGCTATGTTGTGAACGGTTCCTCTAAGTGAAGGATGGCTTCCCTTAATGGGTCTAAGTCGGTCATAATTCTTTAGATGACTCCCTTTCATGGGAAGGTCAGGTGAGATGACTTCCCTTATCGGTTTAAATTGATCTTGATTCTTTGGATGATTTTCACTTCCCGGGAAAGCCAAGTGGTATATTCTTCAGCTGGTTCACCTTCGCGGGTCTGAACCAGGTGAGATGATCTTTGGATGACTCTCTTTCATGGGAAAGCCATGTGAGATGTTCTTCAAGTGACTCCTCCTTGCGAGAAAGCCAAGTGAGTTATTCTGTCAACAGGATATCATCCGTCGTGGAGTTAAAATCTAGCTTGAAAACTTTAATAGGAAATTGCCACTCGTTGCTGAGTTAAGCTAAATTGAATCCATTCTGAATTATCTCTCGAACCCATCTGAATTGGCTCTCGAACCCGATTTGAAGTTGATTCTAAGATCCGTTGATCTTTCTATAGGTCAAGTTGGTTGAGGTGTAGTTCATCGCCGCTGATTTAAGCAACCACCATCGATTTTTTAAAACGTTTTTAAATCGTGTATCATTCGTCGTGAGGTTAAAACTTGACTCTTAAGCTGCAAAAATTATGTATGCAGAAAATGATAAAATGTGATGCTCTTAAGTATGTCTAAGATGTATGCAAAATGAATTAGTTATTGTTTTATTTCTTGGACGAAGTCTCATTCTTTGTTTGTTGGCCTTGTCCTTGGAATCGATGATGCCCCGACATTAATGGCTTCATGGAAATATCTGACATTTGCTTATTTGTTAGCTCAATCCAGTGATCTTACACTCTTGATAGTATGGATCAATTTTAATTAGAGATTCTTAAGCTTTTAGCCTTTGTTTACTCGATGGAGTAAGACTCTATTGCATTGGGTTGACGATCAAATATGGAATTGGTTGAATCATCGTAGTTGACACATCAATATTCAGTGAAAGGCTTCCTTACGTGGCTTAAAAGCTCAAATGATAACTTCTACAGCCAAGGCTACCTCCTCCAACATCTGTAAAATTATTCTGATTGCCATGGAAGAAGATTGGCAAATAAGAAGGCATGTTGCCTTAAAATTATATCAAGCACCCTCAGTGCTACTTGTGAGTTCTCAGATTCTTGTACTCGTAGAGTACTTGAATTCTTACACGGGAATCTGGTAGCAAAGTTTATCTCTACTCTAAACGTATTTGAGTATAAGTGTCTTGCTCTCTTCCTTTCACGCTCATTTGTGTTGTGATAACTCCGTAAAAGGTCACATTTTGAGACCTTTTCACTTAAGTTATTGAATGCCTTAAGGCTCATTTAGGACCATGTAGATGCATTTAGAATAATTTAGTTGCATGTGGTGGAATTCAGTTTACCGTGACATTTTATTTTTAAAGCGGTGCTGCCTTATGGGAAAGTGCTTGTTTGATGATGTGCAGGAACTGAAAGCAAGGAGGAGAGGAAACGAAATGCCGTGACATAAGGAGATTGTTGAGCAAAATGAAATTGCCAAGTTCGATTGGCATTTTGAAAGCGTACAAAGTGTGAGAAGATATTTTTGAAGCCAGCTGTCTCCGACTCTCCAAGATCTCTACCCGAGGAATCCACCTTGAACATCCGCCTGGAGGGATTGGCACTGCAACCGCTGGTCCTGCTGATAACGTCGCCTGACCTTGCAGATCTTGTCTGTCCTTGGGCGCCTACAATAGGATTATACCGGTTACTCAGCTAGCTACTCAGGCTGTATCATAGCCTGCCTTGCCCGACTCCTAAGCAATTTAACCATGGTTTTGGGGTTTTCTAGGAAAGTCAATACCAAGTCCTAGGATTTATTTTCCCCTTACAAATAGAGGATGAAGCCATATTGAAGAAGACATTGGTTCCACCCAGATTTGAGCTTAAAAAGTTAGAGAGAGAGGGTCTCATCTTTCTCCGTCAATCTTACTTGCCATGGCATTTCTCCTTGACAAGCTTGAGAGAGTGGCGTCCTGAGCGTTTGAGAGGAGCCAGTTTGCTGGGAGCAGTTCTTTGGGTGGGAAGCATTGGGCAGGCACGTCAGGCTTTCTCTCATCCCTTAGTTCTTTGCT